TACCAAAACAGTACATGCATTCAAAAACAATTGTCTACTCATTCATTCAAGCAAGGAGAAACAGATTCGACTTAGAAGCTGAAATTGGTGGATACGATGATTGTTACGCCTGCACGTAAACATGTCATTTTGATATGCTTGAACTATTACGAGTTTACCTAGTCGGAAAATGAGAGCGAGGATCAGGCGACAGGACATGACTCTCTAATCCGATTATCCCAACCTCCATATTGAGTAAAAATAAAAAGACTTGATATGAAGTAGAACCTATATTCTGCAAGCATCCAGAAAGTACGAGGTCCGAATCCAGAAGAGAAACAGGATCCCGGACTAGGGATCCGGGTCCTGGTCATAGAACGTTACAAACAATACGTATTTATACATTTAGGTCGAATAGGAAACAACATCGATGTTTGTGACATTGACAATTAAGACGACCAATAGGAAGTAACATTTGATGTGACATTGATAGTCAGGACAACCATCAAATCGACCAATAGGAATGAACCAATAGGAATTGACCAATAATTCTCTTAGGATATTGGATGAATATCCTAACAATGATACACAATTCACAGACCAAAACTGATCAGCACTTTTGAAACGTCAAACAATTGAGATTCTTTTAATGATCCATACAATGCTTTAGAATCGAATTCGAGCTTTTAATAAAATTTAGAAAGAAGTGATCACGAGTCCAATTGATATTTTACAGCATGAATGAAATCGAAGTATCGAAATTAAAAGGTGAATGTTAAATGGGTTCACACTGAAACAGTTTGTCCGGACAAAATTAATTACTGAGTAGAATGAAGTCGATATGACAACTGCCGAACTCAATGAACTTCTTCTATTGCTGAATATCAATCAATAATTTCTATAACAGATAAGTTCACATAGCATACTGCGAATCCGTTGGGGACATTAGATCCCCAGAACTCGCTTGATAAATGCCTTGTTTTAGATCTCACGTTTGCCAGCATGGGCTGATAAGTTGACCTTGAGATTTCATTTCCAACCAGCAAAATCCAGGGCTGAGATTGGCTGCTGTGTCATTTTAGTGTGCTATTTTCTTAACTGTCCCAAGGGCATTTCTATGATGTATAAATAAACGAGAGTTGTATGCTTGATTGTACTGTGATTGCTGGGTGTTTGCAGAATATACTTTCTACGCTTACAAAGCCTTCTTACTTTAGTTGGGATTCAAAGTAGCTTACGTGGACGCTGGAAAATGTCTCGTTCGCGTTTATCGACTAAGGTGAACTCGTAATAGCCTCAAGCATACTTAGTGACGAACATAATAGAATCAAACCAACTATTTGGAACAGTATTTGTAATCATTTTGCTCACAATCAAATCCTTCCCTTATCTCTTAACAATGATTGGAGTACACGAAACTTTATTCCTGGTCTACTTAAAGTTTTGTTTGTTTCAGACAGGATACCATACTTCTGCAGCTAGGACACTGGGATTTATCGCCATCAATGTATGCAGTTTACAATACGTACACACATGATCCTAGTACAGTCATGCACTTGATGTTACACTATAGATATGAAGGACACTGTCGATTGACCATTCATGTAAGTAAAAAAAACTCTAAGGCTACTTTGCGAATACTACTAGTCGAGTTAGAACGTATGACAAACTGTCATAGGATTTAGTGTTTGCTTTCTCAATCTTATTGGATTTTACCATAGAACACGTTAGTCAGGTGAGTTGATTTTCCACCAAGAGGTTGATTTGTTATAGATCTACCTGTATGATGTAGACGTTTAGAAGTATAGCAGATGTTCATAGATTACTAGTATTCGATCATAATTATTTTCGAAGCAATACTCATGTATTTCGGGACCACTGAGTAAATGATGCCTCCGTTAGGAATAGTATAATACTAGAGAACGATGACAAGTCGACTGATTTTACTGTTCCCACAGTAGACTGACAATTAGATGCCGAAGTAAAATATCATGACAATTGGATTGAGTCATATTGGCAGTGGTTGACTAATCTGGTTTGAGTCCACCTGATACTGGTAGTATCTAGTGACTAGAGACTGTGAATGATATGTCCTTTTGAATTCTTCGAAATTTCTTTTGTTTTTATTTATTGCACATTTGAATTCATCAATCATTGTTAGATCACCATTAGAAACCCACAAGCACTGGAAGGCCGTTTTGTCCTGGTATGGGACTCATAAACAGTGCGCATCCATGACTCTCAGGATTCGAACACGGGACATTCGGTCTTGCGCGCGATCGCCTAGGACCACTGGGCCGGCATCCATGTCTAACTCTGACTGATCTAGGGATTTTGCGCCAACTCACCCATTTGTCTTTGGTAGTTACTGCCTACACCTTCGACAGGGTTGAACTCCACTGGTCACATTTTGCCACTAGAACTCCGAGACATTTTTTCACGAAACTAGTCACTAGTGAGCACATTTTACGATTTTTCACTTACAGTTATGGAGACTAGTATTTTTACACATTTGAAATCATCAATCAATCATTGTTAGCCACCATTTGAAATGTGGAAGCACTGGACGGCCGTTTCGTACCGGTGCAGTAGTCGTGGGTGCTCACTGCTGATGAATCCCATACCCGGAAGAAACGGCCGTCCAGTGCTTTCAGGTTTCTTCTAATGGTGGTCTAACAATGATTGATTGATGATGTCAATGTGCAACAGACGCTAGCTAATCTCCATAACTCTAATTGTTCTTATATTTCATCGATTTGTATTGTCTCGAATCTTATCTTCGACGCTGTTAGCACCCTGTACTACTTACTCTATGAATCGCTATCGAAAATTTCATCTCATTGTGTTTGTTAATGCAATACGACGATTGGAACTGATCTACACAAAGTATCTAATCTAACATTGTAACTAAATGAATTGCTTCGAATGACAAATAGACTTGTAATACCTCACATTTATTTTGTACATTTATCATTGTTGAGCTTGTATTATACTTGGACATTACTTACCTTTTGATGTGATAGTTTTATCGTTTCTCCTAATTACTTTAAATGAATCATTGTAAATCGGTTGTAACAGACGTTGTACATTATCCTTTCTGCACCATACATGGGTAACTTCGCCTGCAGACCCTTCAGGGCTACTGCTGGTTCCAAGCCCGGATAAAGGAGGAGGGGTTGACGCCCCATACTTCGGATTCGTTCGCCAGATACCATCAACAATAACCTACTTTGGGACAAAACAAACCAGATTCCAGTGGAAGAGGAAATCAGGTAGAAGTGATGGATTGGACATACACTGCGAAAAGCACCTAACTGCGTCATCGATGGTTAGATACCCTGAATGACATGGCTCAAAACCGTTTGCAAAGGCGCCGGTGTGTTTATTCTTTGTGTTCTCTCAAATCCTAATCTTCTGTATTCTTCAACACCTCTAGTTTTGACTTTCTAAACTTTTCTCATTGAATCATACTTCTTGAGTAATATCTTGTAATCCTAACTTCTCTGATTACTTCTACTACCTCTTCTATTATTGGATTTGAATTGACAATTATATCTCAGTGCTGATGTGGTATGGCGACATGAACTGATGTACTTACGTACAAAGTTCTACGTTGCATCCGACTGACTGAACTGCGTCACGAGACAAGCCCTCATGGAACCCTCAGGGCAAAAAAAAAGAGGAAGGCCAAGGAACACACTAAGCCGAGAAATAGAGAAAGATATGAGAAGAATGAACAACAGTTGGACAGAATTGGTTGGAGAAAAGTATTAGGCGGCCTATGCTCCATCGGAGATAAAAGGCGTAAGTAAGTAAGTAAGTAAGTCCAACGCCATAATAGCACATCAACGAGCTAGAATTTTGGTAGATTTAATTTCGAACCAGAAAAAACAATGGTTTCTCAACTTATATAACATGATTACTACAAACAGAATGAACTAATTGAAAACCTTTTTTTTCTTTAAAAAAAATTCTGATTTTGATTTTAATTTTGATGAAAAGTTTACTGAATTATTAAATAAATTCCAATGTTTACAATTGATTACAACACAGAATCAATCAGTTTAAAAATAATAAATAGTTCCTTTCTTATTTTAATTTTTTACTTTTTCTCTTGAAAATTCAGTTTTTATTTTTTTTTTTTCAGTACACATCGATTAAGAAATTTCACAAAAAAAATGGTGAAAAATTAGGTATTATTTCCAAAATTAGATAATTACAAATGAAAAAAAAATTACATTTTTTTTTTCCAAATTTTTTCAAATTCATTGCATGAAAAACATAATCTCATCAACTAAACCAAACCAAACCAAATCAAATCAAATCAGAGAGAGAGAGAGAGGCAGAGAGGGCAAGAGAGAGACAGAAGAAACGGTGACATTGATGTTTAATTACACACACACAAAAAAAAAACGAGGGAAAAATATCAGAAGAAAAAAAACACCCTCATTAACGAAATCGTAATCAGAGCACTAATAATCCAGTAAACGGAACAACAATGAACAATCAAACCAAAAGAATAAACAACCTCAAAATAAACATTTACAATGCACAATTGCAGGGAAACCATAAAAAAAAAAGGGAAAAACACACACACACACACACACACGTTCAACACACTATTACATAATGATTGCACATTAAGGAAATATTATACATGAATATAGATAATAGTGGAGTTGTACACAGCGACACAGGTGAGACAGATCAATAGATACACAGAGGAAGGAAGAAAGAGAGGTATGCGCCTCTCGGCAGCACTTCTGTCTCTTTACAACATTTTGATTTGATTTGATTTCATGCTTGTATCACAATGGTCGTCGTCAAAAGTGTTTAGACGAGAAAAAAATCAGTAAAAATAAAATATCCATGTATCCAGTGTGTGTGTGTGTATTGAGAAGCATTGCAAAAGAAAACAAGATCAACCCCATGAGCTAGAAGAGCACAGAGTCGACAGTCGCCATTTTGAAGGAAGTAAGGAGGGAGAACACAATGACAAATGGACGACGACTTACTTGAATCGTATGTGTGTGTGTCTCCTGTGTGCAGTTGTAAAATACAGACATACCTACAAACATGTACATTACTACTAGTACTACTACTACTAGTACTGCTACTACTATTCAACAATAATCAAAGATGATCTATTCTGATTTTCAACAAGATATGATGTTGTTGTTGTGGTTGCATTGATTGTAGTCACTTGGGAATGTGAATGACACGACGAGGATGGTAAGGGAGTTGCTTTAATATTCCATGCATTGCATAGATTATAAATTCCAGGTTGTGGTACTAATGCTTTCAATGTGACATATTTCATTTGATATGGTGATAAGTGAAATGTTTGTTTAGTTAAACCAATCCATATTAAAGATGGAATATGCAATGTGGTAGTAGTATCATGAGAAATTGATTCCATCTGTGATGATGATGATGAGAAATTGTACACTCGAAATGGATTGATTTGTTGTTGTGGATGACTTGTCGGGCTTGTTGATGATGTGGACATTGGATCGGATATTGATTTATGTCTGATAAATGAGAAAAAAAACAATACAATCGGTCAATATTTAGAGATTGCTACTTCCTATATGTTAGGATATTCATCCAATATTCTAAGAGAATTATTGGTCAAATCCTATTGGTTAAAATTATGGTCGTTTTAACTGTCAAAGTCAAATACTTCAATGTTGTCTCTTATTGGTCATCCGGACTATCAATCTCATTTCAAATGTTCTTTCTTATTGGTTGTTCTGACTATCAATGTCACTTCAAATGTTACTTCCTATTGGTCGTCTTAACTGTCAATGTCATAGACTTCAATGTTGTTTTCTATTCGACCAAAATGCATAAATACGCATTACTTGTAACGTTTTATGACCAGGACCACGACTCGGTCCCGGATCCCTAGTCCGGGATCACAGCCAAGGATTTTCCTGGTAGGAAATGTGATCTCATGTCGGTAGGAGTGGAATCCTGAACACGCATGTTTCAGCCTATTTCAAACTCGTCAGCTGATGGGCCAATCTATATTGCATTGAGCCATGTTGGTAATTGTCGACTACCTGGTTGGGGTCCGAGAGATGATAATAATCGATGGTTAGATACCTTGAATGACATAGCTCAAAATCGTTTGCAATGGCGCCGGTGCATTTATTCTTTGTGTTCCCTCAAATCCTAATCTACTGGATTCTTCAACACCTCTAGTTTCGACTTTCTAAACTTTTCTCACTGAATCATATTTCTTGAATATCTTCTCATCCTAACCTCTGAGATCACTTCTAATACCTTTACTACCTCTTCTACTATTGGATTTGAATCGACACTTACATCTGTGTGCTGATGTGGTATGGCAACATGAACTGATGTACTTACGTACGAAGTTCTACGTTGCATCTGACTGACTGACTCATGCACCAAGCTGCCTTAGTCCAGCTAGTAACTCATACATCCAAGGTTTCATTGTTAACCGTATTCTATCTCTATTCTGTGCAAACGTCTCATAAAAGCTAAATCCAAGCAATTCACATAGAGTGCTCAACATATATATATATATATATATATATATATATATATATATATATATATATCAAGACAGATCAAATATCAATCAAAGTGTAAGCCATTTCAAGGTTGAATTAAGATAAAAAATAAGCAGTTTATTTTATTTATTCATTGATTTCCATTTTCATTTGTGATGTTGATTTCATAAATCGTAGTGACCATATACTGTTTATCAACTTACTTGCTTACTTACTTAATTACAACTGCTGATGCTACCCCTCATTGAGCGTAGGCCACCAACCGGCATTCTTCAACCTAATGCGTCTTGGGCCTTCCTTTTTAGTACTTTCTACTCAATTTCATTTTATTTTGTTCATGTCTGTCTGCAATACTCGGCGTAATGTGTTTCCAGTTTGCCACTTTTCCTTTGGCCTTGAGGATTCCAAGTGATTTGCGTTACATCCACCTCGAGTGTTTTGTCCTAACGCCCTTTCTTTCAATTGGCCATTGATTTATTTTCCGCCAGAGTAGATTGTTGTTGATGGTGTCTGGTCATTAGATCCTTAGTGTCTTGATTAGATAACTGTTCATAAACACTTGTATGTTCAGGATGATGGCCTTCGCGGTTCTCCAATTTGCCGCTCAATACAGTAGAACTGTTTTGACATTTGTATTGAAAAGTGTGACTTCGATGTTTGTCGACAGTTGTTTTGAGTTCCAAATGTTCTTCGATTGTAGAAATACAGCACTTGCTTTACCGATCTGTGCCTTCATATCTGCATCAAATCCATCTTACTCGTCAATGATGCTGCCTAGATATGTAAAGACTTTTTACATTAATCAAAGCTTCTCCGCCAAGTTTGATTTGGTTGGTGCATGTTGTATTGTATCGGAGAATATTGCTTTTCCCACTGTGTATGTTCAGACCTACTGCTGCCGAGACTGCTGCTACACTGACAATCTTCGCTTACATTTGCTGTTGCGTATGCAATAGAAGAGCTAGATCATTTGTAAATTCTAAATCGTCCAACTCCATTATAGCTGTTCACTGTATCCCCTTAGATTGGTCAACAACAGATATACAATACTACTACTGTAGTGAAGGAGAACACAGGTGAGGGCAACTGAATTGTATTTATCGCAAATTACAGAGTTACTCAGTAAAATCGGAAAACCATATCGTAAACGGTTAATTTGCAAAACATCAATCCGTTGTCTGGCATTTCACTGTTCATGCATTTCATACAAATTCCATTGTGTTCCCACTCTTCTAACTTTCTTGATCTTCCTCCATCTTCTGCTGTCAGACATTACGTTTACACTCGCGTCATATACTACTTATAAGTAGCGCACACCACACTACTATTAGTTAACATTAAAATAAGAATCAGAACAATATATCTCTATGTTACAGTACAACAACAACAACAACTTTAAATCATGATTTTTCATGTTTCCCTCTTTTAATTATCCAATCAAATTATACAATATAACCAAGGAAAAGAAAACAGGTACAAGTAGAACAGAATAGAATGATGGGATATTTTAAACTTACTCATAGTCAGTATTAGTGATTTTTCTGCATTTTTGATTCAAACATTCTAATTGGACCAGAAGAGACCATTTGGAACTGTTGTAGAATTCAGCTTGTACAGTGATTGGAATAAGACTAAGTAGGATTAAATAAACATTAAACCATAAGTTGCAAGAAATCATGCGTTACACAATATATATAGTTTGATAATGATTATCATTATTTATGATTAAACATACTACATAAATAATGTGTTGAAAGTAAGTAACTCCACCTGAAGCCCTCCGAGGGTTACTGTCGATCTCAAGCAAGTGGATAAAGGTGAAGAGTTAGTTAGGCATGAGGGGGTTAAATAACCACATCCCGTAGAAATACACCATGTTAGGATATTCATCCAATATCCTAAGAGAATTTGCTTTGTAAGTCTAATTCTATTGGTCAATTCCTATTGATCGTCCTCTAACTACATCAATGTCAGATCAGTCAGTCAAATGCAACGTAGAACTTCGTACGTAATTACATCAGTTCATGTCGCCATACCACATCAGCACAGAGATGTAATTGTCAATTCAAATCCAATAGTAGAAGAGGTAGTAAAAGTATTAGAAGTAATCGGAGAGCTGCTACCTTGATGTGGTGGTCGAGCTTGCCTATCGTCATGACCCAGCCGAGCTATACTGGCTGGAACATATATTCCTGAAGGTTAAGCCATGCCAGGCAGGTCGATTGGAGAGCGATAAGACTAAAAGCAGCTACCCAAGGTCTGAGGGCGAAGTCGTACTGCTGACTGCAGAGGGGTGTGACAGCAGTAAGATGTTTCCCTCGGACAACCAGCATCTGCAGCGATGCTGCCTTCTCACAAGGAAGGAAGGGTTAGAAAATGTCGACCATAAATATGTCACACCTCACCCTACCTCACGGATTTCCGTCTCCGACGGTAAGGGTGCTTACTAAGGGCTTTCAAGAGCGGAGCTAATACTCAAAAAACCTTTAACGAAAAGGCCGTTCGTGACCGGCCTCAAGCAGTTGTCCCTTGGGCTCTGCAGTCACGCACCCAGGTCTCTAATACCAACGCTAATATACCTTCCTTTTCAGATCCGTCAAGAAACAACCTTCCACGGTGTGGGCAGGCGGGAAGTGACAACCGCCCTCATACCCGTAACAGCACACGAGAGACCAAATGGCTCGAAATCAACTATCAATGTCACAAACATCAGGTGTTGATTCCTATTCGACCTAACTGTATTAATTTGCATTATTTGTAACGTTTTATGGCACGGATCCCTGGTCCGGGATACTTATCCTCTTCTGGACTCGGACCTCATATTTTCTGAGTGCTTGTAGAATACATGTTCTACTTGATATCAAGTCTTCTTCTCTTACTCAATCAGGGGTTGGGACAATCGGATTGGAGTAGCCTGTCGTGTCACCGGATCATCATCGATCCTCGCTCTCGTTTACCGACTAATATGAACTCGTAATAAATAGTTCAAGCATATCAAATGACATGTTTATGACGTGTGCGCACGTAACACACAACTCCTCGCTAAAACCAAAACCACTAGCCCGAAAAAAATTAATTCGCTAGTCGACGGCCTATGCTCGATTAGAGAGAGGTAACAGGCGTAATTTTTGTAAGTAATTGTTGAAAGTAATATTCTAGAGAGACAGAGAGAGAGAGAGAGAGAGAGACAGAAAGAACAGAAAAGTAAAATATATCCTTTCTACAATAGATATGCGCAGTTATAATTTGGTCAATGTTTTTATTTTTTAAAATGCGTAGAAATGAAGTGAAATTTTACAATGAAGTATTAAAAATAATTTATAATGATTATAGATGATGAGAACATGTTAGTAAGGAAGAGTATGTAAACATGATGACTGTTGAATTCTATCTAACCTAAAAACAAACATAGAATCAAGGACGGACCAAACGACAAGTTTACTGCGCAACAGTTGGCTTCGTCTTGTTATATGGGTGTGAAACATGGCCAGTAGGTTGCTAGAATTCGATCATTGGCGGTGTCTTCGAAGCATTGCTCACAGATCCTATGACCATTGAGTAAGCAATGCGCGGGTAAGAAAAACGATACTATGTAAGTAAGGATGGCAGATCAATTTAAGACGCAGTGAATCTTGATCAGTTGAGACGACTACCTCGCCAAGTAATGTTTTGTGGCGTAGGAGTAGGTTGGAAGAAAGCTAGAGGCGGCCAAACCAAATCACAGCATAAATCCATGCTGTTACTAACAGCTGGACTGAGTCATGTTGGTAAGTGTAGACTACTAGGTTGGGGTCCGTGAAACCAAAGTAACCGATAGGTAGAGATCTTGAATGACATGGCTCAAAATCGTTTGCAATGGATCGGGTGCATCCATTTTTCGTCTTCCCTCAGATCGTATTCATGTAAATTCCGCATCACCTCTGTCGTTCTCTTTTTAAATTTGTTCGAATGCATTAGAATGCTGGAATGATATCTTCGATCCCTTGCCACTAATACTTCTACTACCTCAACTACGATGAGATTTGAATTGACAATTCCATGTCTGTGTGTGTCGATGCGACAAGACTCCTCGAATGCTCATGTATGTGAGTACCAAGTTCTACGTTGTAGCTGAGTGACTGACTGACTAAATTTACATGAAAATAATTCTTTAATACATGTGGTATAAGCTCATCAATCCTGATGATCTTTAACACAATTGTCATATTCTTGTCTAATTATCAATTATTCAAGCAAGAACATGGTACAATCAGTCAGTCAGTCAGTTACAACGCAGAACTTCATACGTAGTCAATCACTTCAGGTTGCCATACCGCATTAGCACAGAGACGCCACCATCAGTCCAAATCCCGTAGTAGCGGTGGTAGTAATTATTGGTAATGGAGAATATTAGGGATCGACGATATTACTCAAGAAGTATAATTCAATGAGATAACTTTAGAAAGAGAAAGAGATAGATGATGAGGAATTCCGAAGGTTAGAACTTGAGAGAACACAATGAATGAATGCACCGGCGCCATGGCAAACGATATTGAGCTATGGCGTTCAAGGTCTGTTATTATCGTCTCACTGACCCAAACCATGTGGTGGCCTATATCTACCAACATGTCTCAGTCCACCTGTCGGTGACTTTATGGATTTGTGCCATGTTTCGGTTTGGCCACCCCTCACTTTCTCCCAACCTACTCCGACACCACAAAATATAACTCGTCGAAGCAGTTGGCAGGCATTCGTAAAACATGCCCCAACCACCTAAACTGATGAAGTTTCAATACTTCATCTATTGATTAGCCATCCTTAACTAGTACTCGATTCCTAACAAAAGCATTGCCTAAGAGGTTGTCCCACGATATACGAGCAATGCTTCGAAGACACCTATGATCGAAGACTAGTAACCTACGGATATCTCACTGGCCATGTTTCACAGCTATAAATTAAGACGGAGCGAACTACTGCGCAGTAAGACTTGACCTTTGTTTAGCAAACGGATATCACGCCTACGCTATAAATGACGCATGTTGACAAAAGCCAATCGAGCCTTCTGTATCCGTGCTAATGTTTCATCAGTCACCAGGCCATCAGCACTGATGAGACTCCTGAAATAAGTGAAGCGGTCAACACACTTGACTACGGCACTAGTTCAGGTGTCGTCACAAGGGGGGGGGGGCGGAAAACCGCATCCCGCCCCCCGAATTGCATTGTCAATGCAGTTTTTACCTACCTACTTACATACATTAAATCATAACACAAAAACAAACACCAGAATTACTTACCGTTTTTTCAATGTTTCACATGATAATTGACGAGTATGATCAATAAGATTGAATAATGACTCAGCATCATCATGAGACCGATTCAACGAACCAATATCTTTCAACAACATATCATGATTATTATTAATAATTTTATAATTTTTCAAATAATTCACATGTTTTGGATAATTCAAACGAAATCGAATTAAATTCGATAAATCAATTGTTTCATTGATGATAATGATTGAATTGGTGTTTTTATTTGAGAGAAAGTTTATTTTATGTTTAGACTTTTTCAATGTTCTTTTACATGATAATGATGATGACGATGACGATGATGATGTTAATTTATCCAGAATATTCTGTCAGAAAAAAATAATCATATATATATATATATATTTAGCAGTTGGAATTAGACAGAGCACCATTAGAAACATGGAAGCACTGAAAGACGGCCGTTTCGTCCAAGTATGGGACTACTCATCAGCAGTGAGCATCCACGACTCCTGCACCTTGCGCAGGATTCGAACCCGAGACATTCGGTATTGTGCGCGAACGCCTAACCATCGAACCCACTGGGCCGGTATCCAACGGTGCTCCCAGGTTTCTAATGGTAGTGGTCTAACAATGATTGATTGATGATTTCAAATGTGTTAAAACACAAATCCCCAAAACTCTAACTGAAAACAATATACATTTATTTTTGTCAAGAGCCATAGTAACTCCTCTTGGAGACCTTATAGAGTTACTGTCAGTCCCAAGTCCGGATAAACAAAAAGGGTTGGGCATAAGGGTTTGGCGACCTCGTCCCGTAGAAATCCAACTCGCTAAAAACGAGAGCCGCTAGCCAGAAAATAAAATAATTCGCTGGTCCGCGACCTTTGGTCTATTAGAGGATAACAGGCTTAAGATTTCAAGAATCATAATAATACTGGAGACACCACCACCACACTAAATATACGCAATAGTGTTATGATTTAGTAAAGTCTACATTATACTACTTGTCAAATAAAACTGTGATTTCGAAAATCGCCAAAAACTTATAGTGGGAAACGATCATGAGGAAATTCTCAGAGTTTGGGTGAGAACTCGTGACCAGTTGTATTCAAATCTTTCAGGTGTAGGGAGTTATTTACCCACAGAAGACAATGGGTGAGGTTGCACAATACTGTGGATTGACTAAAGTTAGATATTGGAGACGTTGGATACCACCAGCTTAGTGGTCAATAAAACGGGCGTTCGACAGCAAGACCAAAGGTCATGGGTTCGATTCCCACATACAGGGATTGTGGATGAACACTGCTGATGACACTAGGACGAAACAACCGTTCAGGTGGAATGAAATCGGAAAATAACTTTAAAATCATAAGAGATAGGAAACTTTATTGTATTCTACAATATATATCACCTCGTGTATATTTAAAGAGTTGAACAAAACCAAATCAATAATTATTATGAATTATTATTATTATTATTATTATTATATGGATATATTTTAAAGAGCAATAATCTTGCTATTAGCAGTGAACATTGTTAGGATATTCATCCAATATCCTAAGAGAATTATTGGTCAATTCCTATTGGTTAATTCCTACTGGTCAATTTTATGGTCGTCCTAGATATCAATGTCACGCGATTCAATGTTGTTTATTATTGGTTGTCCTGACTATCAATGTCACTTCAAGCGTCACTTCCTATTGGTCGTCTTAACTGTCAATGTCACAGACTTCAATGTTGTTTTTCATTCGACCAAAATGTATAAATACGCATTATCTGTAACGTTTTATGACGACGACCAGGACCCGGTCCCGAGTTTCTAGTCCAAGATCCTGATTCTCTTCTGGACTCGGACCTTGTACTTTCTGCATGCTACTAGAATTCAGGTTCCACTTCATATAAAGTCTTGTCTTCTTATTTTCACTCAATATGGGGGTTAGGATAATCGGATTTGAGTAGCATGTCGTGTCGCCGGATCCTCGCTCTCGTTTTCCGACTAATGAGAACTTGTAATAGTTCAAGTATATCAAAATGACGTGTTTACGTGCAGGCATAACAAACAAATCCCAGTAATATTCCTTTCAATAAAACCAATTAAAGACACAAAATATATACAAACATTTTTCTAAAGCTTATGTGTACAATTCGAAGAAAGGATATATCTAGTTAACCTCGTTAGCTAAGCATCTTTGACTTAGTTTCTTGATGCGGTATTTCAAATATGTAGTAGTGTGTGTGTGTATGTACTAATGTATATGCTGAACCTGTAGGGCTTTAGTGGTGCAGGTGCGTGCATTACTTAATTCGCTTACAGCATGTTTGGTCTATTTTTGTCTGACTATAATTGCTTCGTCATGTCTTATCATATTGAGTTGGCTCACTCGCCTTCTCCACTTTGCCTTTACGCTTCATATTCTCATGTCTGTCTGCATGAACGATTGTATAGAATAAATCCATCCAACCAAAATCATAGTTAGCAGCTAACTATCACACTGCTGTCACATAAACCGAGTTCTCCTAATTAGATAAAAAGATTTATTTCATAGAATATTTATTAATCGGCCAATCAAACTGGAATCAAATCACAGGCCACCAATAAATACAAAACAGTGGATTTCGCCTTGAAAAAAATTCTAATGGATGAGCACTGTGCTGGCGAGTGTTCCATACCAAAATGAAACGCCAACCAAGTGCTAACAAGCTTATAACGAGGCTTTTGGGGCAGATTTTCGGAGGTTTGCGTTTTTACACATTTGAAATCATCAATCAATCATTGCTAGACCACCATTAGAAACCTGGAAGCACTGAACGGCCCAGTGGTCCGATGGTAAGGCCTACAATGCCGAAGGTCCCGGGTTCGAATCCTGCGAGGAGCAGGAGTCGTGGATGCGCACTGCTGATGAGTCCCATACCAGGACGAAACGGCCGTCTTTCAATGCTTCCAGGTTTTTAATACTGGTCTAACAATGATTGATTGATGATTGTAACGATGCATTTCCCACTAGGATTATTTTTTGTGATTTAAAAAAAAACTGTGATCACAAAATTTATTGCTTTCAACCAAAACAAAGATAAGAACATAAAGCTTACGTAATTACGATCGAAGGTATATGGCATTTGTATTGGATAATTGAGCTGATTAATTCGTAAATGACTTTGGCCCCAAATTGGTTGTTGAAGATTAGTAGTAGTCGGTGTAGTTTCGGTCAAAGCCTACATACACACACACAAGAAGTCAACATAAGAAAAACAATTAGTCAATTTGAGGAATATAGGGAGATGATTTTCGCGGGTGAAAAAGCGTTCTAAAATGCTGTTTATTGCTCGTTTTTGTGGCAGACAATGAAAAAAATTCATATAACACAGATTATATATAAGTGAGCGACAGTGTACTATTTTCAATTAGATCAACGTCGATGATATCAACAACATCTGCGCTACACAACCATAATTATAGGTAGTCTTTCATGTAGATAGTTTATAGTTAACTAAAGGAGTTCCATTCTAGGAGGATTACAGATGACGAGAGAAAAAACCATTTCCCTGTGGGGAAAGATATCAGGAAGAAGCACAGGAAGTGGATAAGGCACACAATGAGGAAAACATCCGATTAGATCACAAGGCAAGCCCTCACTTGGAACCCTCAAGGTTAAACGAAAAGAGGAATAACAAGGAACACAATAACACCGAGGAATGTGTAGCATCAATGTACTTCAATGATTGGCCGTTTAAATTAATCGATAATAGTATCGACCATATTTTTATATTTTGTAAATAATTCGATAACAGTATCGATTATTGTACGTTTGATTGTGTGTGTGTGTGCATGCCTACTCGCTTATCACATGTTTAGCCTAGTATTGATTGACTAAAATTACCTAGTGATTCTTCAGCTCATGGAGAGTTGGCTCACTCGCCTTTTCCGATTCACTTTGTTTCGCTTGTACGCTTCCTTTGTCATGTTTGTCTGCATAAATGAATGGCATGAAATAAATTCATCCGCAACACCGTATTTGGCTTCTAACTACCGCCTTCGCACAAACAGGATTCGCCTAATTAGAATATACGGAAGTGGGAAGGAAGATTTACTTCATCACATACTCGATCATTCGTCCAAACTGGAGTCCAGTTGTTAGCCGCTAAAGGTTTTCTATGAGATGGGGTCGATAACCTCATGCCCAACTCTCCTCATTTACCCGGGTTTTGGACCGGTAGTAACCTCAGAAGAGCTCCAAGTAGAGTTTGATCATACCAGCCACAAATAAAAGTGTTCCCGAATTCGTTAGCTCAGTTGTCTGGTTGAATGCATGATATGGCTTGTTTTATAGGGACAGTTAAAAATTGTAGACACACAAGTGTGGTAAAATGAAGTAACATCATAGCCATAAGTTGAGGAACCAACATGAGCTATGTACAAAATAGAAGACAGAGGTCACCTGTATCTTTATTACTCTAATCATTCTATCAACTAGACATATCAATTCTTGTAACGTAACTTAAATAGATTTCAACTTAATGTTATTTCAACACCATTTATAACCTTCAATTCATGAAGTGTCCGAAGCGATAACGGGTGCGACGCTCAGTATTTAAATAACAACACTTAACGAAATCAATAATGATAGGCAACAAACTGAGATGAGAACTATGTAATGCTAGATATAAATGCTTTTATCAATTAGAGTTATGGAGATTAATGTTCTTTTACACATTTGAAATCACCAATAAATCACTGTTAGACCATCATCATTAGAAACCTGGAAGCACTGAAAGACGGCCGTTTCATCCTGATATGGGACTCATCAACAGTGCGCATTCACGACTACTACATTTCGCAGGATTCGAACGCGAGACCTTCGGTCTTGAGCAAAAACGTCTGACCTCTAGACCACTGGGTCGCATCTAACAGTGTTAAATGTCTAACTCTGACTGATCTAGGAATTTCGCGTGACCTCATCCATTTGTATTTGGTAGTTACTGCCAACACCCGACAGGGTTGAACTTCACTGGTCACGTCTACTCACAATAACTCCGAGAATTTCCTCACTAATAAGCACATTAACACCACTGGATGATCACCCAGTGGTCCGGAGGTTAGGCGTTCGTGCTCAAGACCGAAGGTCTAGGGGTTCGAAGCCTGCGAAGTACAGGTGTCGTGGATGCGCACTGATGATGAGCCTCATACCAGGATGAAACGGATATCCAGTGCTTCCAGGTTTCTAATGGTGGTCTAACAATGGTTGATTGATGAATTCAAATGTGTAAAAATATTCAATGCAAAAACATGAAATGAAGATAAACCAACAATAGCTGTAGGGAAAAATACTCTGCCATTTACAAAGTTAAACCTGATTCACAATAATACAAACTACTGAATTCGGAGTAAGTAACATAGATTAATCTATAAAAGAAATGATGAAACAGGAAAAACATGGCACTGTAAACAGCCAATAGTTGCAGAGAGCCACTGTAAAACAGTGAGAGGAAAAAACGATTCCACCATAAAATAACATGGTTTTATAAGTGTTAAAGGTGTATAAACGTTTAGGCTTAAAGAATTAAACCGACATGGGATTGCGTTTACTGAGAAAAAGACTTCAAAAGTTAATGAAGACAATGGAGTGCGATCAGATGAGAATATATTTTAGTACAATGCATAAACTACCGACGGTATACTATGATTTTGAAGTTAAAAACAAGAACAACAGTAGACAGAATGTGCAAACGTATCAAAAGACTCAATCAGTCAGTTACAATGTAGAACTTCGTACGTACACACATCAATTCAAGTTGCCTTACCATATTAGCACAGAGATATACTTGGGCGATACAAATCCCGTAGTGGTAGAGATAGTAGAAGTATTAGCAGTAACGGAGAAGATTGAGGATCGAAGATATTATTCAAGAAGTATAATCTAGTGAAATAAATCTGAGAAGGAGAAATTTAGAGGTGATGAGGACTTTCAAACGATGACAATTTGAAAGGAATACGGGGTTGTGATGATTGTTAAGTTACACATTTTGTAAACCATGAATCGATCAATATTAGACAACCATTAGAAACCTGAAAGCACTGAGAAACGGCCGTCAAGTCCTGGTATGGGACTTCTCAGCGTGGTTTCAAAAATGTGTAACTTAACAATCTTCACAACAACCCCGTAATGCAATAATTACCTGTGCTCACTAGTGACTAGCTTCGTGAGGAATCTACTCCGACTTCTAGTGGGAAGAAGTGACCAGTGAAGTTCAACCTGTTCGGATGTAGACAGTAATTACTACCGAAGACTGTGTATGAGGTTGCACAACTCCGTGAATCGATCGAAGTTAGACATTAACACCGTTAGACACCGGCTCAGTGGTCCGATAGTTAGGTGTTCGCGCACAATACCGAAGGTCCTGGGTTCGAATCCTGTTGGGTGCAGGAGTCATGGATGCGCACTGCCACTGGTGAGTCCCATACCAGGACGAAACGACCGTCTTTCAGTGCTTCCAGGTTTCTAATGAAGGTGGTCTAACATTGATCGATTCATGGTTTTAAAAATGTGTAATTTGAAAGGACTGATACAAAGAATGGATACACCTGCGTCAATCAATGCCAAACACTTTTGAGCCATATCACATCCAAAGTCTCTAAACATCGGTTACAATCATCTAGCGCGCCTCAACCAGGATAATAGTCTATACTTACAGGTTGTCTAGTGTATAAATACCCAGTGGAATATCATCTACCTTACCAAATAATAATAATAATAATAATAATAATAATAATAATAATAATAATAATAAGCATTCTTCATTTTACCTTCCATGTTATAATCAAATTGATATCCAAAGGTAAAGCTTCATTGAAAGATTTACTTGAGTTATTATTCTACAAAATAAAACCATTCAAAAGCAAAAGTAATTTTTAGTGTTTTATTTTTGAGTTAAGCAATGTGTATATGGTGAGTAATAAAAAGATTTCAAATGGTGAATAGGTGAAAAGTTAAGTCTCATTGTGCCTTCCTAGATTCCGTGGTGCAACTAACACACAGGTACCTGATACCCTGGTGGACCATTCACACCATTTATATATACATTAGTACATATATAGAGTGATTATTATTTCCGATCCATGATCGCGTCGTCATTCAATATGCACAGCATGAATAGGCTATTTCGAAACCATCCCGCTTACACACGACTGTCATAAACACATTATTATTAGCAATGGTGATATGTAATACAGCAGCACCCCAATGACAATGACCCTCGGGAATGTTACAAAACAACCACCACTAGTATCAATGAAATCGGTCGCGCTGCTAACCAATTTTGTATAAAGGACTGTTAACAATGCTTGCCCAAAGCCATGCCAAAACATCCACAATGTTCATCACAGTAAACCTCTAATCTCATAGGAGACCTTCAGCTCTAGTGGGACACCCGAGTCAGCAACGCTGTTATTAGGAATCGGGTGCTAGGTAAGAATGGCAGATCAATAGACGCAGTAGTGACACCTCATCAGTTGAGGTGGTTGGGACATGTGTTGCGTATGCCTAACCACCGACTGCCTCATCAAGCTTTGTTTTGTGGTGTAGGAATAGGTTGGAAGAAAGCTAGGGGCGGCCAAATCAAAACATTCCAGTAATCCATGAAGTCATCGACGAGTGGACTTAGCCATGTCGGTAATTGTCGACTACCTGGTTGGTGTCCGGAAGATGATAATAATCGATGGTTAGAGACCCTGAATGACATGGCTCAAAATCGTTCGCAATGGCGCCGGTGCATTTATTCTTTGTGTTCTCTCAAATCCTAATCTTTTGGATTCTTTAATACCTCTAGTTTTGCCTTTGTAAACTTATCTCGCTGAATCATACTTCTTGAATAATATCTTCTAATTCTAACCTCTCCGATTATTTCTGATACCTTTACTACCTCTACTACTATTGGATTTGAATTGACAATTACATCACTGTACTGATGTGGTATGGCAACATGAACTGATGTACTTACGTACGAAGTTTTATGTTGCATCTGACTGACTGACTGACCTTCAGCTCTATATAGCAGTAATAAAACTCATTGCTTGCTGTTTAATTTTTTAACTTTAAAATAGTAATACTCTTATTCTATGCCTATTCAATTCTAGCAAACTTTATGTCATGTAGTGTAGTGAAACATGATACACTTTTGAAAGATGATTTAAATTTAAAAAAAAATTAAATCCACAAAATCTTTAAGGTTAACAGGTAAAAGTTCATTCAACATTCAAACAAACTATTGATGATGTTTCTCAATATTTGGTTGGTCTGACAATAGGCTGCTATATGAACTTATTTGTTATAGGAGTTATTAATATTGAGTAATGGAAGTCCATTGAATTCAATAGTATTTGTTGGGGGATGTTAGATCCCCAAAAACTCGCTTGATAAAAAAAATGCCTTAATTTTGGATTTCACATTTGCCAGCATGAGCTGATCAGTTGACCTTGAGATTTCATTTCCCACCAAGAAAATCCATGGCTGTGATGGGCTGCTGTGTATTTTAGTGTGCTATTTTCTAAACTGTCCCAAGGACGTTTCTATGATGTATAAATAAACGCAGAGTTGTGTGCTTGATTGCATTGTGTGATTGCTGGGTGTTTGTAGAATATACTTTCTACGCTTACAAAGCCTTCTATCTTCAGCTTGGGATTCAAGGTAGCCTATCTGGACGCTGGTTGATTGTCTCGTTCGCGTTTATCGACTAAGGTGAACTCGTCGTAATAGCTTCAAGCGTACCTAGTGACGAACCCTACAGTGTTGCTCTCAAATCGACTTCATTCTACATTATTACTCAATAATTAATTTTTATCTGAATTCATTAACATTCATCGTTTAATTTCGATACTTTAATGTCATATTGTTGAGAAATGGTTTTTGAGTGAAAATATCCTTTGCACACTCGTGATCATTGATCACTTCTCCATAATCGCTAATACTTCAACTATTTCTACTCCTATGGAAATTGAACTGACAGTTGCGTCTCTGTGCTAATGCGGTAATGGCAACCTGAACTGATGTCCATATGTACGTACGCACGTACGAAGTTCTACGTTGTAACTGACTGACTAATGATCACTTCCTCCTAAATTTTACTAAAAACTAAAATCAATAAATTTCATCAGTTTGATGTATTAAAAGTAATGATCAGTTTTGATTTGTGACATGTGTTTATCATCGAATCCACTAACTTCAGCTTTTATGTCGAATCTGTTTCTCCCTGCTTGAATGATGATGTGGGATCGACGAATTTGCAGTAAACAATTGTTTATTGAAACAAGTACAGTTTTGGTATTGGAAGTGGTAGTTCCGTTGTGTTTTATAAAATGCTGTCTACTTGTTCTTCCTTTCATCAACATTGTCCAGAGTATTAACAGAGATCTGTTCTCTATGCTGGTGCTTGTTCTAAATCAGTACCTCCTGGGATGTTGAAACTATTTCTTCTGTAGTTGCTATACTACTGTTTTTCTTCATGATAATTTCAGCTTGTTTGTGTAGGTCTTGCAAAGCTCAAGATCGTAACTGCTACACCTTGACCTGGTAGTTGGGCTTGCCCATCGCGGTGACCCAACCGAACTATATTGGCTGGGACATATGTACCTGTAGGTCCTACCATACCAGACAGGTCAATTGAAGAACGGCGAAACTAAAAACAGCTACTTAAGGCCTGAGGGCGAAGTCGTACTGATGACTGTAGAGGAGTGTGACGGCAGTAAGGTGTTTCCCTCAGATGACCAGCGTCTGCAGCGACGCTGCATTCTCACAAGGTAGGAGGGTTTAGAAAAGGTCGACGCTAAAAATGTCACACCTCACCCTATCTCACGGATTTCCGTCTCCGGCGGTAATAAGGCCTTTTAAACAAGAGCGGTATACTTGGAATAATACACTAGAAAAAAACACAGAAGAAACATATTCTCTCACTTTTTAGCTAACTTACATTCGAATGATACCAATGAATACCGGATCGATAAAAGAATTCTAATTGACTTGACGAAATCATCCTCATCATCATTTTATCATCAGTATCACTGGTATTGTTGTTGTTGGCGGCGGCGGATTGTGAAGAATCGGCATTCTTCATCGATTGATAATTGAAATGTATCACTGAAAGAAATTTATTCTGTACAGCAGCAGTAGAAGTCTTGTCTTCATTCAATTGTTGTTGTTGTTCAACATGACTATGGTCTGTTTCAGCAGTGTTCAAATTAGTTTTGATTAAATTAGCTTTCAAATAAATTGTGATCATTTCACCGACATGTATACTTGGAACAATATCTAATAATTCGAATCGATTGAAAAAAAAATAAAGATTCATTTTTGTTAGGATTAGTCATCAAATATCGTAAAGAAATTATTTTGTGAGTCTGATTCTATTGGTCGATTCCTATTGGTCAATATTGAAGGTCGTCCTAAAATATCAAGTGCACATACTTTTCAATGTTGTTTCCTATTGGTTAGTATTCACGGTCGACTTAACTGTCTGTCAAACTTTATGAGCCTTATTCTTCTTCTTTACTAGACCTCATATTTTCTGGGTGCTTGTAGAATACACTCTCTATGCCATATCAAAACTTTTTGATACCGTTAGTGGAAGCTTAGGACGTTTGGATTAGAGTAGTAGCCTATCGTGTGAAGACCGATGTTAAGCAAAGTTACTTACCTTCACTCTTTTTCTTACTCTTTGCTAGCCGACAAGATTATGAAGACATTAACATCTCAAGGGAAGTACGGAAGTACAGTTGACAACTTGGAAGCAGATGGATGCTTTAGACTTTACAGATGATCTAGCCCTTATTTACCACAGTAGGCTCAGCAGAAGAAGGCCTCAAAATTCACAAAGGAAGAAGCAAGATCCTCCAATTCAACACAATATGCATCAATCAAATCACACTTGATGGAGAAGATTTGGAAAATGTAGGAATCTTTACATACCTGGACATAATCCTTAATAAACAAAATGGATCGAAAGCAGATTTGGAAACAATCAAAACCAAGTGGGTAAAACTGGAAAGGAAGACGCACGAGCGAGTAGCTTAGAGAATGCTGGTCGGCGGCCTATGCTCTATATGGAGTAACAGGCTTCAATAAGTAAGTAATTTTGTAATCACTAATATTATGAAGTGATTAACAGTGATTTAACAAATGATTTGATAACTTGACAGTGTGATGTGATATATTTCTAAATCTATGGATCTTATTTGTAGTGGACGTACTGATGACTAGTCAGTCAGTCAGTTACAACAGAGAACTTCGTACTCACGCACATCTGTTCAAGTTGACATACCACAATGGCACACAAAGAGATGGAATTGTCAATTGAAATGCCATAGTATTAAGTAGTAGTAGAGGTAGTAGTAGTATCAGAGATAATGGAGAGGGTTCTGGTTCGAAGATATGATTCAACAAGAAATATATCCCAGTGGAATCAATTCATGAAGAGCAGAAAGGCATCATAAGGAATTCAGAAGATTAGATGTAGATTGATTATAGTAATATTATATAGTGAAGGGCTTCGATGTGTGTGCAAAGCTTGAATGGTGCATTAAAATTTCTGATTACGAGTGTATCCTTATCATTATTCTTCATATATAATGATGTGTACGTTCATGTACAGGTGTCTAAGGGAAAAGTCATCATCCAAAAAAGAAATACAGCTGTTTATTAACAGTTGTCTACGCGAGATACTGAGGATCCATTGATCAGACACCAATAGTAAGTAACAATCTACTGTAGGAGAGAGAATAAACCAGATTCCAGTAGAGAAAGAATTCAGGAACAAGTACTGGAAGTGAATAGCACAAAGCATTCAACTGCATCATAAGACAAGATCTCACCTATAATCCTCAAGGCCAAATGGAATGCGGAAGACCACAGAATACAAACAAGAGAAGAATTAGGATCCTCTAATACAATACAAATCAACTGGACAGTTAGGACGCAGCTGGACGATCTGGACTTCGCAGATGATCTGGCTCTTCTATCGCACACTCAACAACAAATGCAAGAGAAGACGACCAGTGTAGCAGCAGCCTCTGCAGCAGTAGGTCTCAACATACATAAAGGAAAAAGCAAAATTCTCCGATGCAACACAACATGCACCAATCAAATCACTCTTGATGGAGATGCCTTGGAGGACATTAACACCTTTACATATCTGGGCAGCATCATCGACAATCAAGGTGGATCCGATGCAGATGTGAGGGCACGGATTGGCAAAGCAAGGGCTGCATTTCTACAGTTGAAAAATATCTGGAACTCCAAACAGATATCAATCAACACCAAACTAAGGATTTTCAATACAAATGTGAAGACAGTTCTACTGTATGGAGCGGAAACATGGAGAACTACCAAAGCCATCATCCAGAGGATACAAGTGTTTATTAACAGCTGTCTACGCAAAATACTTCGTATTCGTTGGCCAGACACCATCAGCAACAACGAACTGTGGGAGAGAACAAGTCAGATTCCAATGGAGGAGGAAATCAGGAAGAAGCGTTGGAAGTGGATAGGACACACTCTACGAAAAGCACCTAACTGCGTCACGAGACAAGCCCTCACATGGAACCCTCAAGGCAAAAGGAAAAGAGGAAGGCCAAAGAATACATTACGCCGTGAAATAGAGAAAGATATGAGAGGAATGAACAAACATTGGACAGAACTGGAGAGGGAAGCCCAGGACAGAGTTGGTTGGAGAAAACTGGTGGGCGGCCTATGCTCCATTTGGGGTAACAGGCGAAAGTAAGTAAAGTAATACAATACAAGATGCACCGACCAAATCTTACTTGATCAAGAAGCTCTATGAGATGTGAAAACTTTTAAATATTTATCTGGGTAACATCAAGAATAAACAAAGTGGATCTAATGCAGATATGAAGGCACGGATGAGCAAAGCAAGAGAATAGCAGTTCCACAATTGAACAACATGTGAAACTCAAAACAACTAACAACCGACATTAAAGTCACAATTTTCAATACAAACGTCAAAACAGTTCTCTATTGTAAGGAGAGGAAAACTTTAAGAACTATAAAAGCTATCATTCAAAAGATATAGGTTTATATGATTAATTTTTTTTTCCTCAAAAAAATCATCACAAATTATCAGCTGATGAACTATTATGAAGAGAGTAGTAGTTTTCCCTTGAAATCATGAATCGATCAATATTAGACTACCATTAGGGGAACCTGGAAGCACTGGACGGTCATTTCGTCATGGTAACGGACTCAACAACAGTGCGTATCCACCGTTAGATGCCGGGCTCACTGATCTGAAGAGCAGGCGTCCACGCGCCAAACCGAAAATCCCAGGTTCGAATGCTGTGGGTAGCAGCAGCCGTGAATGAGCACTGCCATTGATGAGCAGTCGTCTCATATCAAGACAAAACGGCCGTCTAAGCAATGCTTCCAGGTTTCACTTGGTGAGATGGTTTAACAATGATTAATTCATGATTTCAAGGTAATAAGTATTCAAATTTGAAATAATAATAATAATAATAATAATTTTCCTAAAAATTCTCACCAATATTATTATTATGAACTGATTCAATCGGTTTGATACACCAATGTTGACTGATACATGCAATTTGTAAAATTTGAAACATTAAAGGGATCTTGATTTAAAAAAAAGGAGGGAAATGAAAATTTCAAACGATTTATGAATATGCAGTTGTTTCTAGTTTTGTTTAAAAAGAAAATAATTAATTCAAACTGATATCAGAAGCATTAGAAGCAGATATGAATTGGAAAGGATAGACTAGGACAGAGTCGGTTGGAGAATGCTAGTCGATGGCCTCAGCTTCATTAGAGAGTAACAGGCGTAAGTAAATGAGTAAGTAAGTAAGATATAAAAATTGAAATGTAGATATTCATACGGGTAAACAGTATGCCTTAAATATATGTAAGTGGATATTTGTGTATATAAATTTTCCTAAAATAATCACACAAATTATTTGATGATCGTGGGACATCTGAGTAAGCAATGCTGTCGTTGAGGAACGAGTACTAGGTAAGGATGGCAGATCAATAGACAAAGTATTGAAACTTTATCAGATGAGGTGGTTGGGACATATGTTACGTATACCTAACCACTGACTGCCTCGACGAGCAATGATTTGTAGTGTAGGAGTAGGTTGAAAGAAAGTTAGGGGCGGCCAAACCAAAACATGGCAGAAATCCATGAAGTCACGGACAAGTAGACTGAGTAATGTTGGTAGATGTCGACTACCTGGTTGGCGTCCGCGAGACGAAAGTCACCAATGGTTAGAGACCTCGAACGACATGTCTCAAAACCGTTTGCAATGGCGCAGATGCATTCATTCTTTGTGTTCTCTCAAATCCTAATCTTCTGGATTCGTCAGCACCTCTACTTTTGTCTTTCTAACCTTATCTCACTGAATTATACTTCTTGAATAATATCTTGAAACCCTAGTCTTCTTCAATACCATTAATACTTCTACTATCTTTATCACTATGAGATTTGAACAGACAATCGCGTCTCTGTGCTAATGTGGTATGGCAACTTGAACCTTATGTACATACGTACAAAGTTCTACGTTGCAACTGACTAACTGACTGAATAGTTAGTAGTATTACCATCAAATTATATTGAAAAAGAAAAGAGAAAAACATAAATACAAACTTACATTTGCATTGACAACATTTTTAATTTGTACACTAATTAACACATCATTGATACCGGTCATATTTAAACAATTAGCAACAGCTTCAAAATTCAATGACGGCTTGAGTTCCAGTTCAGAACGATGTCGAACATAACGACAACTTGAAGAGCAAAAAAAAGGAGAAGAAAGTATGATGTAGAAAAATACGCATACAATGCACTGAGCTGACAATATCAGGATATAAAAATTAGGGAAGAGTGTGAAAAAAGCACTTAAGTGCAGCTAAGTTAGCCATGTCAGTAATTGTCGACTACCTGGTTGGGGTCCGCGAGATGATAATAATTGATGGTTAGAGACCTTGAATGGCATGGCTCAAAAACGTTTGCAATGACGCAGGTGCATTTATTCTTTGTGTTCTCTCAAATCCTAATCTTCTGGGTTCTTCAACACCTCTAGTTTTGACTTTGTAAACTTATCATACTGAATCATACTTCTTGAATAATATCTTCTAATCCTAACATCTCCGATTACTTCTTATACCCTTACTACCTCTTCCTCTATCGGATTTGAATTGACAATTACATCTCTGTGTGCTGATGTGGTGTGGCAACATGAACTGATGTACTTACGTACGAAGTTCTACGTTGCATCTGACTGACTGAGTGACTGAAATGCAGCTAAGGGTTATTTAAACTCATAATTATTTGTACAAAGAAGGGCATCTAATTATTTATAATGTGAGTGGGCTGCTGGTACACTCTATCTGGCCGCTCAAATGGATCCAGATGGTAGGACATACTTCAGCTTTTTGAAATCAACGAGTCAACAGAACAATATTAGGAGATGAAGTTCCATGACAGCTGTTTATCAAACATATGGTCATACACTATTTGTTTCTCCACAAGATTCTGGAGGAGTATTGGTTTCAAATCAAGGTTTTTTTGTGTGAATCCTTTGTATCCGCCAACTACGCTTACGTCTGCGCTAAACATTCGCTTTCCGTCATCTCAATTTGGTAAACAGAAAAACCTACATCATGAGAAGGCAGTATACAGTAGAACTTCCCGGGAAACTTGCTAAATACACGCGTGGTCATAAGAGAGCATTTTGAATGTGAGGGCAGATTCTTACCCAATAGTTACGAACAAACCAAGGCATTTCATAGAAGGGGAGTAAAATTGGATTTCGAGTCACAACATATGACCACTGACCACCACCTATCACAGTATGTTATTTATTAGTTAAGATATTCTATAAACGAAATACTTTACATGTTCTTCTCTCGGTCAGAACAACACATCAAACTAAACACTTTCAAAAATACGAAATACTTTGTGATATAAAGTGGATACGAATCTGTGCAAATCATAGTCAGAGTCAGTCAGATGCAACGTAGAACTTCGTACGTAAGTACATCAGTTCATGTCGCCATACTACATCAGCACAGAGATGTAATTGTCAATTCAAATCAAATAGTAGAAGAGTTAGTAAGAGTATTAGAAGTAATCGAAGAGGTTAAGATTAGAAGATATTATTCAAGGAGTATGATTCAGTGAGAAAAGTTTATAAAGTCAAAACTAGAGGGGTTGAAGAATCCAGAAGATTAGGATTTGGGAGAACACAAAGAATAAATGCACCGGCGCCATTGCGAACGATTTTGAACCATGTCATTAAAGATAAGTAAGTCAGTTGGTTATAATGTAGAACTTTGCTCGTACTACATAAGTTCAGGTTGTCATACCACATTAGCACATAGAGGCAATGGTCAATTCAAATCCCATAGTACTAGAGGTAATAGAAGTATTAGCAGCGATCGGAAAGATTATGGTCTGTAGATATTATTCAAGAAGTATAATCTAATGAAATAAACTTAAAAAGAGGAAGGTAGAGGTGATGAGGAAATCGGAAGGTTAGGACTTGAGAGAAAACAAAGAATGAATGTACCTGCGTCATTGGACACGGTTTTAAACAATGGTATTTAAGGTCTCTAAACATCGATTACTACCATCTCGCAGGCCCTAACACGTTAGTCTACACCTACCAGCCGTCACTGACTTCATGCCGTGTTTTGATCTGGCCGCCCCCAGACTTTTCCAACCTACTCCCACACCTCAAGAGATTGTTCGTCGAGGTAGTCAGTGGTTGGGCATACGTGACACATGTCCCAACTACCTCAACTGGTGAAGTTTCAATACTTCATCCTGCCATCTTTACCTAGTACCCGTTTTCTAACAACAACACTGTTTACTCGATATTCCCAAGATAAACGAGCAATGCTTCGAAGATATCTATTATTGAATACTAATAACCTATGAATGTCCTTTACTCTTACCGGCCAAAATCACACTTATTGTTAATTTAAACAAGAAGGCGATAGAATAAAATCCTAAGATGGTGAAGAAAATTCTTTGCTCAAGTAGATGATTGTTCAAAAGAACAATATGTAAGCGTTATAAGCAAAACATTCAGCTGAGAGAATGAAACCACATCATAGGAATATGATCGATTTATTTTAAGCATTGAGGAAAGTATCCAACACCTCACTTGTAATCCTAAAGGCCAAAGGAAAAGGGGAATACCAAAAGAACACACATTACGCCGAGAATCAGAAATAAACATCAAAAGAATGTACAGTGATTGGATAGAATTGGATTGGAAGACTAAGGATAGAGTAGGCTGGAGAGTGTTGGTCGGTGGCCTATGCTCCAACCTGCGTCACTTATGACGTAGGCGAGATATCCGATTGCTGACTAAAGGACGAGTGTACTGTGCAGTGGTTCGCTCCGTCTTACTTTATGGCTGTGAAACATGGCCAGTGAGAGTAGAAGATACTCCTGGGTTACTGGTTTTCGATCAGAGATGTCTTCAAAGCATTGCTCGTATATCCTGGGACACTCGAGTGAGCAACGCTGTTATTAGGAAACGGGTGCTAGGTAAGAATGGCAGATCAATAGACGCAGTAGTGACACTTCATCATTTGAGGTGGTTGGGACATGTGTTACGAATATGCAACCACTGACTACCTCGTCGAGCTTTGTTTTGTAGTGTAGGAGGAGTAAGTCGGAAGAAAGTTAGGGGCGGCCAAACCAAAACATGGCACAAATCCATGAAGTCATTGACGAGTGGACTTAGCCATGTCGGTAATTGTCGACTACCTGGTTGGGGTCCGCGAGATGATAGTAATCGATGGTTAGAGACCTTGAATGACATGGCTCAAAACCGTTTGCAATGGCGCCGGTGCATTCATTCTTTGTGTTCTCTCAAGTCATAATCTTCTGGATTCTTCAACACCTCTAGTTTTGACTTTCTAAACTTATCTCACTGAATCATACTTCTTGAATAATATCTTCTAACCCTAACCTCTCAGATTACTTCTAATTCCCTTACTACCTGTACTACTATTGGATTTGAATTGACAATTACATCTCTGTGCTGATGTGGTATGGCGACATGAACTGATGTACTTACGTACGAAGTTCTACGTTGCATCTGACTGACTGACTGGTAATGGGTGTAAGTAAGTAAGTAATTTTAAGCACTCAACAGGTCATGTCAACATCAATGGAAAAAAAGAGACGATATATTTCAAGTCTTTTCTCTTCTTATCATAAACAAGTCCGGTCATTTTTTTATTAGTTACCTTAAAAACACACAGTGTTTTAAAAAATTGAATTAAGGGTGAAGTGTATTTTTATCAAGAACATGAACACTCACTAACACACCACGATATAAGTTGAAGAGAAATTGAGAAATAGTAAAAAAAAATACGAAAATCTTACGATAAAATAATTTTTAGTAATTGGCTTCTTACTCAGTAAAGACGAATTAACACATACACACACACGCGCATTCAAAATGTACCACCCTACACTGTTCAACAATGATCAATAGTATCACTAACTACTTGACACATAAGTGTCTCTTTCATTTTTTTATACTCAGTAGTGTAGTGTGTAAATAGACGAAGATTTTTGTGTTATGTAAGCATTCACAAAAACACTGTAACACTTTAAACACTAGATAACATTGTTTTTTTGCTTATTTTCAATTGTCAGTAAAGAAAAAAAACGTATTTCGTGTTGATTAAACAGATGTTTACTTACCGACTACCTCGACGAATTATGCTTTGTCTTGTAAGAGTAGGTTGGAGGAAAGCTAGGGGCGGTGTCTTCAAAGTATTGCTCGTTTATCTTGAAACTGTCACGTAAACAATGCTGTAGCTAGGAAACCGATACTAGGTAAGGATGGCAGATCAATAGATGAAGTAGTGAAACCTCATCAGTTGAGGTGGTTGAGACATGCACTACCTCGACGAGCGATATTTTATGGTGTAGGAGAGAAGAATGGAAGAAAGTTGGGAGCGACCAGACCAAAACATGGCACAAATCCATGAAGTCACTGACAACTGAATTGAGTCACGTTGGTAGATGCAGACTACCTGGTTGGGGACCGCGAGATGTTAGTAATCGATGGTTAGAGACTCTGAATGACAGCTCAAAATCGGGTGCAGTGTGGCACAGATGTTAGTTATTTCCATCAATAATTGTAGTTATGCCTATAACTAACCAATCAAATTGTGGTTTAGGCGCCCACCATGTGATCTGGTCTGACATGTCTGTAAACTTTCTTTGTTGTAAATGACCTACAAATTGAAGGACATTATTATCTTACTATATTGATGTGACTCATCATAGTTTTATTCATTTCCATAAGACACGCTACTATTGGTCGGTATGTCTGCTCGTCTTAATTGATAATTGTAATTTCTTTTATTTATTGTACTAATCTAATTGTTTTTGTGTTTAGAAACAGATAAAGTTTAAAGCAAATTTTGATCTTGTTCTGACTCTATAGCTTTCCCATTGACTCTGTGCTCGCCAATATTGCGTTTACCGTTCTAGAAGTGTACATCTGTAGGACAAATTAAATCCTACACAGATGCATCCATTCTTTGTGTTCTCTCAAATTGTAATCTTCTGAATTCCTTATCACCTTTATCTTTTTCTTTTTAAGTTTATTTCACTAGATTCTACTTCTTGAATAATATCGTTGAACCGTAATGTTTCCGATTACTGCTGATACTTCTACAATCTCTACTACCATTATGGGTTTTGAATTGGCATTTCGACCTGCCTGTGTGCGAATGTGATATGTGGCCACTTGAATTGATATACATATGTATGTACCAAGTTCCACGTCAATCAGTCAGTCAGATGCAACGTAGAACTTCGTACGTAAGTACATCAGTTCATATTGCCATACCACATCAGCACAGAGATGTAATTGTCAATTCAAATCCAATAGTAGAAGGGATAGTAAAGATATTAGCAGTAATCGGAGAGGTTAGAATTAGAAGATATTATTCAAGAAGTATGATTCAGTGAGAAAAGTTTAGAAAGACAAAACTAGAGGTGTCGAAGAATCCAGAAGATTAGGATTTGAGAGAACACAAAGAATAAATGCACCGGCGCCATTGCGAACGATTTTGAGCCATGTCATTCAAGGTCTCTAACCATCGATTATTATCATCTCGCGGACTCCAACCAGGTAGTTGACAACTACCAACATGACTCAGTCCACTTGACAATGATTTCATGGATTTGTGCCATGTTTTGGTTTGGCCGCCCCTAACTTTCTTCCAACCTATTCCTACACTACAAAACATAGCTCGTCGAGGCAGTCGGTGGTTAGGCATACACGCAACACATGTCCTAACCACCTCAACTGATGAAGTTTCACCACTTCATCGACTGATCTGCCATTCTTACCTAGCCTCCGCTTCCTAATAACAGCATTGCTCACTCAGGTGTCCCAGGATATACAAGCAATGCTTCGAAAGTTACACATTGTCACTAACTAACTGATACATACTATTTATATAAAAAATTAACACTATGTATACACTGTACATTAGCAACACAAGAAAATTTTATTTACCCAGAAAATGTTGGTTTCTGCTGTTGTGGTTGTGGTTCAATTGGCACTTTGGTGTTATTATTATTAACCGATTCATATTGAAAGACAATATGTACAGTTTTTTGTTGTAAATGCGACGACAACACCTCAGTATTGGAATTATTGATAATAGGAATGACGACAGGAAGTGTAGGGTTGATAATTGATGAAAAGGAGGAGAGGGAGGTAGAAGAGGAAGAGGAGTAACCACCACCACCACCGTCGAAATTCTGATGAAGTGAGGATGATGTTGTTGTTGAATTCAACTGAGCATAACGATTAGGATGTCGTTTACGATAATGAGATGAATAAGTTGTTAGATATGGACCACGTAACCATAGTTTTTGTGTAATAGTTGTACCAGGCATAAGTATATTCGATTGTTTAGCGGTATGATCGTGATTATTATTTAATGAGGGTTGATTGCAAGGTACATCAATCCATAGTTTTAATGGCTAGAAATAGAATGTTTTTATAAGGAGAAATGAGAATTATGATAAATGCTAGTTAATTTTTAAAAAAGGAGAATAAAACCTGACCAATGTTACACATAGAAATCATGAATCAATCACATTGTTAGACCACTAACATTAGAAACCTGGAATCAGTGAACGGCCGTTTTGTTCTGGTCTCACCAGCACGGCGCATCTACAACTGATCAGAGTTAGACATTAACATAGTTGGATGCCAGCTCAGTGGTTAAGAGGTTAAGCGTTTGTGCTCAACACTGATAGTCCTAGGTTCGGTCACCGCGAGTAGCAGGAAACGTGGATGCACACTGCCACTGACTGATGAGCAGTGCCATACCAGGATGGGACGGCCATCTAACCAGTGCTTCCAGGTTTGTAATAGTGGTGGTCTAACAATGATTGATTCATGATTTCAGTAATAAATATCGATCTCCATAACTCTAAGTGAAAAAAAAACCTGACCAATTTTATCAGAGTTTGTGAATTAGTATGCTTAAAACTATATATATAGAATATACATCATCTGTTAGCTTTGTAAATTTGGCTAATTAACTGTTCAAACAAAATCATAGTCAAAAATAATAACTTTTATTTATTAAAAGAAAGTGTATGAACGTGTACATGGTTCGCACACTGACAAAACAAACACACTGACATTCATCAATATGATACATGCCGCCGAAAGCCCCGCTCAACCTTTCCAAAGTGTCTCACATTGTCACGCGTGTACAGCCACTGCCATGGTAGTTCTACTCACAGCCTTATTGTGTCAGCAGAGTTGTTTACGACATTCAGACGCAAAAAATCGAATTTCCAGTGGAGGCTTGAACTGGTCTGATGGGAACAGAGAAGTGACCAAAGGTGTGGAAAATCACTTGATTCTTCCATGAGTGTATGTTGGCGAAAGTTAAGCTTATTCACATTGAAATCATAAGCAATCAATGATTGTTAGACCACCATTAGAAACCTGGAAGCACTGAAAGACGGCCGTTTCATCCTGGTATGAGGCTGATGTTCATCAACAGTGCGCATCCACGACTTCTGCACCCTGCAGGATTCGAACCCTGGATCTTCAGCGTTACGCGCAAACGCCTAACCTCTGGACACCTGGGCCTGCATGCAACTGTGTTAATGTCTAACTCGGTTTTTAGACAACTCAAAAACGTGAATTAAAAAGAGTTAACAAGCAAACATTTTTGTTCGTGTGAATAGATCGATAGAAAAAAACGTATCAGTAGAATGTTTTTTAAAAAAATAAGCATCCATGGTGCTAATTACCACAGTCATGATTGAGGAGATTACCATAACAAATAATAGATTTGACTGTTATGTCATACTTATTTAGTACGCTCAAACGCTTGGTGAACTCTGCTTCCTGATCATAAGAAGAGCCGACATCGAACGATCAAAATAAGCGATATCGCTATGAACGTTTGGTCGCCACAAGTCAACTATCTCTATGATAACTATTCTGACACCACTTACTGCTTCAAACTCCAAAAAATAACATCAAGCCACGCTTTTACGGTCTGTAATCGTACTTACTTACTTACTACTTACAGACTGAGTTCACCATAAGACACCCATGTTATCATTTGACAGATGTACTGCTCCAGTCAAACCCAATGCTGCCTAACATGGTCTTCAGAACGAGTCGTGTACATCACACAACCAAATTTGTATACGCATTATCCGCAATATTTGCCCAAATTGATGCCAAACCATGGCACAATGTTCATCATCTCATAGGAAACCATTTAGCTCTCTGTATATAGCAATATAAGCTTACAGTATATATACAACGTATGACATAGCAAAGCAAGAGGTGCAGTCCAGCAATGATGCGAATGAGCTCAAACACTCTTATTACCCTTTGTCTCATGTCAGTCATATGGAGAGACCTGAGTTAGACTGTCATCTGATATTGACTGTTAAAACTGCATACATTTTACTTTTCCACACAAATAATAACAATAACGATGATCACTCACTCATAGGAAGACTTACTTGAATTGATAGTTGTTGAATCGGTTGTTGTTGCGATGACAGATGATCACACGGGATCGAACCAAAGGCAAATAAACCTGGCCAATTTGATGCAATACGTAAATTAGTCAGTGGGATTAAACCATTATTTGTCAATGAAATTTGTATGCAACATAGTTGACCTTTATAAAGTTGACTTGGAAATGAACTGAAAAATACCTAATTGATGAATAGGTTGTTGTATTTTTTTGTATGCCAAATAAAAAAACAGCAAAAAAAAAAGAAATCAACATGAGAAAATACAATGAGAATGTGTGTGTGTGTGTATGTTGCTGTTTGTTACATTCGTCTCTAGGGTATGCTTAAAACTATTACGAGTTCAACTTAGTCGACTAACGAGAACAAAACAATGAACCAGCGTCCAGGTAAGTAGGCTACTGTGATCCCTTTGTAGTGAAGGAGAACACAGGTGAGGGCAACCGAATTGTATTTATCGAAAATTACAGAGTTACTCAGTAACATCGGAAAACCATATCGTAAATCGTTAATTTGCAAAATATCAGTTCATCATCATATCGAACTGGACTGTTCCTGTTGCAAAACATCAATTCATTGTCTGACATTTCACTTGTTCATGCGTTTCATACAAATTCCATTGTGTTCCCACTCTTCTTACTTTCTTGATCATCCCCCCATCTTCTGCTGCCAGACATTACGTTGACACTCACGTCATATACTACTTATAAGTAGCGCGCACCACACAAGAAGTCTTGATATAGTGTAGAAATTGTATTCTACAAGGCACCCAGCTAGCACACAATCAATCCAAGCATTCAAATTGCGTTTATTTATACTCTATATAGAGACGTCCTTAGGACAGTCACAAAAATAGTACACTAAAATAACACAGTAACCAATCACAGCCAAGGAATTTTTTTGGTGGGAAATGTGATCTCAAGGTAAACTAACTGATCAGCCCATGAATAGAATCTAAAATAAAGATATTTATCACGTGAGTTCTGCGGATCTAACATCCCCAACACATTTACTTTGGGGATAAACTTGGAAAAGAGCCTAATTTTGTAATTTCATTCTGAAATTGAGAATTTCATTGTTTTTGCGCGAAAAGACGCTTAGTTGACCTTCAGCTTACATTTTCCATTCGGAAAAAATCCTTGACTGTGATTGGTTGATGGATTATTTTAGTACGCTATTTTTGTGGCTCTCACCAAGGGCGTTGCTATCAGTGTATAAATAAGCTTCACTTGACTGCTTAGCAAACCTCGTACTTTCTCGGGTGCCAGTAGAATTCATTCTCTACGACTTATCAAGACTTCTTGGTAGAGTTAGCGGCGCCTGGGACAATCATATTAGAATAGCCTATCATGTCACTGTATCGTTGAACTTCGTTCCGTTCACCGAATAAGGTGAACTCGTGATAGCATTCAAGCATATCAGTTGACGAGCACATCAAGTTAGTTGTATCTTGAATGAACATCATGGTTAAAATAAATTTACAAAAAAACGACAATTTAATGCATCTAGTTGACGCTATTTTACACAACTGATGAGTCCTACATTAAGACGAAACGGCCGTCTTTCAGTGCTTCCAGGTTTCTAATGGTGCTCTAACATTGATCGATTCATGATTTCACTATACAACTCATTAAGCTGAGCAGTTCTTTTTAAAAATGATCATTTCACTAAAAGCAGGCAATTTATGGTCTGAGAGTGAAGTCATGCTTGCTAACTGTAGAGAGGTGTGATAGTTGTAGTAAGGTGTTTCCTTAGGAAAACTGACATCTGCAGAGCGGTTACCTCTTCACAATCGAAAGGGGTTAGTAAAAGGTCGACCCTGAACTTGTCACACCTCACGGATTTCCATTTGCGACGGTAAGGTGTTTTGAAGAAAGCAGCTAACGCTTTATAAAACTTGATGAAGCAAGATACAGTCAGTCAGTCAGCTATAACGTAGGACTTAGTACGTACGTGCGTACGTAAATCAGTGTTCAATTTGATATGCCCCATTAACACACACAATTCGAATCAACAATGCGAATCCCATAGTGGTAGAAGTAGTAGGAGTAGTAGTTCGCTCCGTCTTACTTTATGGCTGTGAAACATGGCCAGTCAGAGTAGATATTCGTAGGTTACTGGTTTTCGATCATAGGTGTCTTCGAAGCATTGCTCGTATATAGTGGGACAACCGAGTGTGCAAAGCTGTTATTAGGAAGCGCGTGCTAGGTAAGAATGGCAGATCAATAGATGAAGTATTGAAACTTCATCAGTTGAGGTGATTGGGACATGTATTACGAATGCCCGACCACCGACTGCCTCCACGAGCTGTTTTGTGGTGTAAGAGTAGGTTGGAAAACAGCTAGGGACGGCCAAACCATAACATGGCACAAATCCATGAAATCATTGACCGGTGGACTGAATCATGTCGGTAGTTGTCGACTACGTGGTTGGGGTCCGCGAGATGATAGTAATCGATGGTTATAGACCCTGAACGACATGGCCGAAAACCTTTCGCAATGGCGCCGGTGCATTTATTATTTGTGTTCTCTCAAATCCTAATCTTCTGGATTCTTCAACACCTCTAGTTTTGACTTTCTAAACTTTTCTCACTGAATCATACTTCTTGAATAATATCTTCTAATCCTAACCTCTCCGATTACTTCTACTACCTCTACTACTATTGGATTTGAATTGACAATTACATCTCTGTGCTGATGTGGTATGGCAACATGAACTGATGTACTTACGTACGAAGTTCTACGTTGCATCTGACTGATATTCGTTATATATATATATATATATATATATATATATATATATATATAAGGGGGAAAAAACAGATCACAAACTACTTACTCTTAACGAAGGAGCTGGTTGTGTGACAGACCATTGCAATGGTAATCTCGGCGTAGAATGATCAATTATTTTATTGGAGATTGATGATTGTTTCGTTTGAAATAAAATTTTACCTTTCACAGAATGACGTCGTTCACCAATAGCATTGACAACATAGCTATCATTCATCATCATGGTGGTGGTACGAGCAGCGGCAGTAGTAGTAGCTGTAGTTGCAGTTGTAGTCATAGTACTAGTAGCAGATAATGGAGGTGGTGACGAGAGAGAAGTATCCATTGTTGGCAAATGTTTACCATCATCAATATCATCACGACTACTATTCATGTACATATTGTTTGGCATAGTAGGATCAATAATGAAAGATGATGCATTCACAACTGGATAATGATGTGGATGAGTTTCAGCATGATTTTGATGAGTTGGTAAATAATTCCATTCAAAGCCTAAACCAGTGATAGTTATCTCACCTAATTGTTTAGCAATTAAACTAAGTTGAAGCTAGAAATTAAAAGAAAAACAAAACGGTTAGGGTGAAGGATAATGGTTTGTTTGTACGAGATTATGCGTTGATTGAAGCTAGATATTAACATCGATGTTGGATGACAATTCAGTGATTGCTTGTGAAGCCGAACACTCTAGGTTTGATTCCAAGCGTGAGGGGTTTTGATGATATTCATTCAATATCCTAAGAGAATTATTGGTCAAACCCTATCGGTTAATTCCTACTGGTCAATTTTATGGTCGTCCTAGATATCAATGTCACGTGATCCAATGTTGTTTATTATTGGTCATCCTGACTATCAATGTCACTTCAAATGTTACTTCCTATTGGTCGTCTTAACTTTCAATAAAACACAGAATTCGATGCTGTTTCCTATTCGACCAAAATGTATAAATACGCATTATCTGTAACGTTTTATGACCACGACCAGTACCCGGTCCCGGATCCCTGGTCCGGGATCCTGATTCTTTTCTGGATTCGGACCTCGTACTTTCTGGATGCTTGTAGAATACAGGTTCTACTTCATATCAAATCTTGTCTTCTTATTTTCACTCAATCTGGGGGACTGGGATAATCGGATTTGAGTAGCATGTCGTGTCACCGGATCCTCGCTCTCGTTTTCCGACTAGGTAAACTCGTAATAGTTCAAGTATATCAAGTTGACGTGTTTACGTGCAGGCATAACAAATACATGGACGACACAGCCATCCAATGCCTTCAGGGATTGACTGGTAGTCTGGCAGAGACTAGGTTGTAATTTCAATTGTCGCAGTAATAAAACTTCCACGAATAGAAACGTAACAACAACACAGATATATGGACAGTTGTCTTAGAATGTAAATTATGATTGTTTATGCGAGTGAATTATTCTAAAGGTGGACCTATTGACTTGAAATTACTTTTATGAAACTTATAATGTCAATCATCATAAAAAGTGTTATAACTAGTTCATGAATTCGGATGATAAGAAAGTTCTACTTGTTGTATGTAACTACGCCCAATAGTCAATTCGTCTACTATGCATGTAATCGTTTGACATAGATCACAATACTATACACGAGAGATAAGTTGATAAGGCGTTGGTTGCAAATAGTCGATTGAAAACTTTGTGCTAGCTGGCACTCAGCATAGTGCATGAAATGTCAATTCACCTAGATTAGAGGAACCAATGCAACTTGATCAATAGAATCCGATCAGCATTAAGGAAGAGAAGGAGTTGACACACATGACATTAGTCACTACCCAATGACAGTGAAACTGGGTGATATAGGATTGAATCCCCCAGGGAACATCAGTCCCTCAAAGATTACAAGTACATCATACTGACGAATAACAAAAAGCACACAAAATCTAGGTCTAAGGTTTCCTATCGAATACTTCCATCCATCATCGTACATCTACTTCCACATAGTTCACGCGATATAGAGTCGTCTGGATCACTGACCACATGGCAATTCGGTCAACCGAATTCGATCAACACTAAAAAGTACTTAATAGACATGACATTAGTCACTATCCAGTAATTTGTAGTATGTGTACTAATATTTTGAACCCGAAAGGATTGTCCTCAGTCTGTGGACAAACGGATTGATCGACTTATTCACACATCTTTTCACCTTGTCAATTATTCGCTTATTACATGTCAAACCTAATATTCCCCGACTATAAATAGTAAGTCATGCCTTGTCGCATGAGTTGGCTTCCTCACTTTCTCCATTATTCTTTGCTTTGTCTGTACGTCGCATAAACTGAGTTCGCCTTATTATGATATACGGAAATGGAAGAGAAGATTTATCATTTTCATACCACATATTTGACTGGAAGTCTGATTGCAGGTCACCAAAATAGCTGAACCCTATTAATTCTAATGATTTAAGGCAACTATCAACACCGCCAACGATCGATCGATCGATCAATTGATCAATGAAAATTGTCGAGTCGACAAGTGATGATTCTCCTTGAAGTGCTCGTCATAATCCATAAACATTCAATGTGTTGTGATTACAACATATGAAAAACACTTACAATTTTTCTTTCTCCCGGTAACATTATTAATTCACTGATAATTTGACTAGAAATATACTCATTATTGAGCTTTTGTTGTTGTTCATATTGGTGGGAATGAATGGCATGTATTGGCATTTCATTTGTTATACAACAACAACAACAACCAGTGGTTGACGATTGATGATGATGATGATGATGTGGATCAGTATTGGCCAACAATTGAAATAGCCATAACAAGTGAACATTCGTAAATACTAATGGGATACGCATAGGATTGATCAAAGTTATTTGTAGCGTCAAGTATTCTATCCATGTGAAAACAATAAAATCAATAAATCAATACGTGGATTAGATGTGAGTGTTTGCATGTGTGTCTGTCTGTCTGTCTATGATGTGTGTGTTTTTATTGGACAGTAGGCGAAAAAAATAATAAAACAAAACAACCATCAAATCAACCGTTTCAGGCAGAGCTTTGGATGTAGGTTTGTGTTTCGTTTTTTTACACATTTGAAATCATCCAATCAATCAATCAATCATTGTTAGACAGAGGAGCACCATTAGAAGAAACCTGGAAGAAGCACTGAAAGACGGCCGTTTCGTCCAAGTATATGGGACTACTACTCATCAGTGACAGTGCGTGCGTATCCACGACTCCTGCATGCACCATGCAGGATTCGAACCCGGGACCTTTGGGTACTGTACGCGAACGCCTAAACATCGGACTACCACCACTGGGTCGGCATCCAAATCAACATTATTGAAATAGATACAAAATATTAAATGTGATTTGTACACAACGAAACTAAGAAAATGCTATGTCGATTATTATCCTCACAGTGTTATGTTATTCAATCAGTAAATTCAAGGAATAGATTAGTATTTTTAAAAAAAGGAGAAATTGCAATTTTGTCTAGTGCAAGAATTGTGAAAAAAAAATGGATGATATCAATAAAATACTTCAAACTTTAGAATGTTACGAGGAATTCAGATGATTAGAATGTGTCAGTAGACAAAGAATGGATGCAACTGAGTTTAGTGTGAACATTTTTAAGTCACATCGTTCAAAGTCTCTGTTTGTTGGGGATGTTAGATCCCCAGAACTCGCTTGATAAATGCCTTACTTTGGATTTCACGTTTGCGAGCATGGACTGATCAGTTGACCTTGAGATTTCATTTCCCACCAGGAAAATCCATGGCTATGATTGGCTGCTGTGTATTTTAGTGTGCTATTTCTGTAACTGTCCCAAAGACGTTTCTATGATGTATAAATAAACGAGAGTTGTGTGCTTGATTGTATTATGCTTACTGGGTGTTTGTAGAATATACTTTCTAAGCTTATCAAGTCTTCTGTTTTGCAGTTTGGGATCAAGGTAGCCTATCTGGACGCTGGTTCATTGTCTCGTTCGCGTTTATCGACTAAGGTGAACTCGTAATAGCCTCAAGCGTACCAAGTGACGAACATAACAATTGGCGACGGGGATGGGATGAACGCATGCCACCACTACAATTTGATATGATTGAACTATTACGAGTTCACCGTAGTCAGTAGACGAAAGCGAGACAATGATCCAGTGAAACGATAGGCTACTGTAATCCGATCGTCTCAATCCCCATTGAGAAAAAGAAGAAGACTTGATATGAAGTAGAACATGTATTCTACAACAGCATTCAGAAAGTACGAGATCCGAGTCCAGAAGAGGATAAGTATCCCGGATTAAGAATCCGGATCATAAAACGTTACAAATAATGCATATTTATACAGTTAGGTCCAATAGGAAACAATATTTGAAGTATGAGACATTGATACTTAGGGAAAACCAATAGGAAGTGGCCGATAGAATGGGACATACAAATAATTCTCTTAGGATATTGGCTGAATATCCTACCGGTCTTTAACTGTCGGTTACAACCGTTTCGCGGACTCCAACCAGTTAGTCTACACTTACCAATATGACACAGTCCAGTTGTCAGTGATTTCATAGATTTGTGCCATGTTTTGGTTTAGCGTTCCTTAGCCTTCATCCAACCTACTTCACAAAACAACGTTGATCGAGGTAGTTGGTGGTTAGACATACGTAACTAGTGTCTCAACCACCTCAACTGATGAAGTTTCAATACTTCATCTATTGATCAGCCATCCGTAACTAGTAAGTACTTCTTTCCTAAAGATAGCATTGCTTCCTCGGTTGTCCCGGGATACATGAGCAATGCTTCGAAGACACTTGTGATCGAATACTAGTAGCCTACGAATATCCTCTACTCTTACCGGCCATTGTTTACACCTATAGAGTAGGATGGAGCGAACTGTTGAGCAGTAAACTCGTCTCTTAATTGACTCAAGTTCACAAAAACCAATCGAGCCGTCTATAAGTGTGGCGAGATTCCGTTACACACACACACACACACCGGGCCATCAAGACTGATGAGACTAATGAAACATAAAAATTAATTGTATTTGATAACTCATTCATCATCAATGCTTTGAAATAATAAATCCGTAAAAATGTAAGGGATAACATCCCTAAGTGTTTTTCTTATCAGCTACAAACAAAGTTCGAATTTACATTAGTAATATTATTATTATTACTGCCCTAATCGATGAAATACCAAAACCATCGTCCGGGAGATACAAGTATTTATCAACAGTTATCAACGCAAAACACTCAGGATCAGCTGACCAGACACCATCAGCAACAACCCACTATTTGGAGAGAACAAACCAGATTTCAGTGGAGAGAGAAATCAAGAAGCAGTGCTGGAAGTGGATAGGATACACATTGAGAATGGCACTCAACTGAGTCACAAGATAAGCCCTCACTTGGAATCCTCAAGGCGAAAGGAAAAGTGGAAGGCCAAGGAGCAGATTACGCCGAGAATAGGAGACAGACATGAAAAGAATGAGGAGCGATTGGTTGGTAATCAAAAGAAAAGCCCAGAATAGGTTGGAGAATGCTGTGCCCCCTACTACATCCAGTCCACCTCACTTCAGCTCAATCCGATAGCCGATCTAAAATCAATCTGTTAGATCGGTTCAAACAGCTAACATTAGTAGTGTACCATCAAGCATATAAGAAGAAGTCAACCCGCTCAGAAGTACGCAAGACTGGTCTTCATCTCCGTTCCAGAAATATCCTCCCCGACAGCAACAACAACAGTCCAGATCCAATTAAACAGTCGTGTGTAGCTTCAGTTTCTTCAGAGGGAGGTGTTAGGATATTGATCCAATAACCTGAAAGAGAATTATTGGTCAAATCCTATTGGTCGATATCTATTGGTCAAAATTGCGGTCGTTTTAACCGTCAAAGTTAGATACTTCAATGTTATCTCTTATTGGTCGTCCGGACTGTCAACGTCATTTCAAATGTTCTTTCTTATTGGTTGTCCTGACTATCAATGTCACTTCAAATGTTGCTTCCTATTGGTCGTCTTAGCTGTCAATGTCACAGAATTCGATCATGTTTCTCAATCGACCGAAATGAATAAATATGCATTATCTGTAACGTTTTAAGACCAGGACAAGGACCCGATCCCGGATACCTAGTCCGGGATCCTGGATTCGGATCTCGTACTTTCTGGATGCTCGTAGAATACAGGTTCTACTTCATATCAAGTCTTCTTATATTAACTAAATATGGGGGTTGGGATAATCGGATTTGATTAGCATGTCGTGTCGCCGGATCCCCTCGATCCTCGCTCTCGTTTTTCCGACTAGGTGAACTCGTAATAGTTCAAGTAGATCAAGTTGACGTGTTTACATGCAGGCGTAACAGTTCCATTGGAGGTAACAGGCCGAATTAAGTAAGTAAGCGTAAAGCATAAGGTTGAAACAGTTTCCTGAAAGTAGTATGTACACGAAAGAAAACATTGAGATTAAAACTATATGAAAAACTCACAATAATCAAAATTTATTTTATCAACTTACCACCAAGTGGAAATGTCGGCAGCATTTGTTTACATTTTGTACGAGATGTATAAATAATTTTTTCACGTTTAAACAAATCACATGATGAATGCATTGGCAATGGTGTTGTTTGCATCAATATATATTCTAATCGTTGATATACCATACTGTGTGGTGATGTGATTTTTTTCCAATTCACATTTTGGAGGAGTTGAGAAGTATGGCAATTTTCATGACTACGACGAGTATCAATCCGATGGTTATCGTTATTATTATTATCTTCTTCTTCTTGTTCATCATTGCTAATATCACTATCACTACTGCTAATATCTGTCGCTTCAATCCAATTTTGATATTGTTTAGTGTACTGTTGAAATTCTACATTATCGAATAAATGATCTGTAGCAGTATCTCGGTCTGTAGTAGTAGTAGTACCTTGGGATTGATCATCAATATCCTCATCATCATCTTCTGTATCTGAAAACTGTACACCTCGAGCTTCAATGAATAAATCTTTAAATAAATTGAAAATGAAAATATACACATTAGTGAAGTCTTAATTATATTGACTAATTGTGGGAAATATAAATAATCCTTGAAGCACTATTTAAACGGCCGTTTCGTCCTGGTATGTGACTGACCATCAGCGGCAGGGCGCATCCACGACTCTTGCACTTTGCAGAATTCGAACGAAGGAACTTCGGTCTTGCGCACCTTGAACGCCTTAACCTCTGGACCACTGTGAGCCGGCATTCAACAGTGTTAATGTCTAGCTCTAATCAATCTAGGGATTTTGCGCTGCCTAACCTATTTATCTTTGGTAGGTCACTGCCTACATCCGATACAGTTGAACTCCACTGGTCACGACTTTTAATCTGTACAAATTCATATCTTTTGAATAGTTATGAAGATAGTTGGAAAAATTATATGTCAGTTAGTTCACCGCAAGTCAACATTTCTATCAATCGGTCAGTTGTACAATAAAAGAATGAAACATAACAAGGTTGATATCAAAACAGATCAATATGAAGAACTAAGAATAGAGCAAAGCAATATTTCCATTGAGATCATCAATCGATCATTGTTAGACCACCACCATTAGAAACCTGGAAGCACTGTTTAGATGACTAATTCGTCTTGGCATGGTACTGACTCATCAGCAGTGCGCATCGATGATCTTCACATAATGGAATCCAATCTGGAACCTTTGATTCCGTACACGAACGCTCAACCTTTAGACTTCAACTGAGCCAGCACACAACGGTGTTAATGACTAACTTCAATCATCATAAGGAATCACGCAAACCACTCACCCCCACCCGCAATGTCTTCATTACGTAATTACCTACAACCAACAGAGTTGAACTTCACTAGTCACGGCTTCTCATTAGACCATCGAGAAATTCCTCACGAATCTAGTCACTAATCTAGCACACTTTTTTAAAATTGGTTTCATTATGGCTTTTATGTAATATCGATTAATATCAGTGATCGACAACAATGAATGTTTGATTACTCATCGATTAGTTGGGTTACACAATCATTATTATATAATGTCACAATAATTCTCTAAAATAAAATATTGATCGTTTTTAATGGAATTTTTTTGAATAATAACTGTGAAAATTATTTAGAATTAGTGCTTTATTTGTCTTTCAATATCTCAATATTATTTTGCATAATTATTGTGACATAATAGAATTGTTATGTTACGTAACCGCTATTCAATGTGGATTATTACATTGTAGAGTAATCCTCATTGTTCTCTCACATGATAGTTAGTCACTCACAATAGGTTCGTTCATACGCTATTTTTTCCCACCTAGGATCCTGGAGCCGATAAGCAAGATTTGTTTGAAATGAGAGTTTTTTTATTAGCGTCTCTTGTTGGATCCTCCATAACACCGAACAGGCTTAAGTGCCGGAAATCTGCTTTTCGTAAACAACAGCAATGAGTAAGACTTTTCTGACTGTGGGGGCTATAACCACTCAGAGCCGTATAGAAGAATTTTGAGGAGAGTGGGCACTCCTATGTATTTAGAGGTCATCTAAAGTGTGCAAGGTGCCCAGTCGAATGGTCAGTTATTATTACTTGCAATCAGCAGTGGGCATCGACGATGCTGACATAAAGGAATCGATCCTGCGGCCTTAAGGTCCAGGAAGACAACTATTGTCGGACGCCTAAATGTGTTTCTGTGTTTCAGGACCTGTCGTAGTGTGAAGATGTGGTCTATACAACCACGTCCAGGTCGAAAACCAGCCTGGTTTTCTCTAGTCTGATCTTCACGAGCTTTCGTTAGGCGCCTAAGTATTACTGAGGCCAATATTTTCGATACAATATTAGTTAGACATTCCCCTGTGATTGTCACAAGAAGACTTCTGTCCTTTCTTATAGATTGGGACAATCAGTGATTGAGACCAGTCGGATGGGATTGCGTCCAGTTCCCAGGGTCTACCTAAGATCTCGGTCAACCTAGTTGCTAAAACTGAACCACCATCCTTAAATATCTCAGGGGCGGCTACAAACACACAGCCATATGAGAGAATTTCGGCGAAAGCAGGCTCTCCTAAGTTTCGGCTGAAATAACGTATTTGGAAGCCACCTGCAGTGTGCAAGGTGCCTAGTCGGATGGTGAATTGTTATTACTTGCAGTGAATCCCAACTCATTAGAGAATGAAATTTTGCGGAAAACAGAAGTTATATATTACAAAAATAATAAGTAAAAATCTAGGTAAGAATGAATGACGCATTACTTATGACGCGAAAATAAGAAGAAAGGATATAAAAGCTGTTGCGTGATCAGGCGTTCGCTCGCAAGGTCCTGGGTCCGAATCCTGCCAGGGGGCAGGAGTCGTGGATGCGCACTGCTGATGAGTCCCATATCAGGACGAAACGACCGTCTAAGCAGTGCTTCCAGGTTTCTAATGATGGTCTAACAATGACTGATTGACTGATGATTTCAATGTGCAAACAACACTAAAGGAAAAAGTTACCAATGGTTAGAGACCTTGAAAGACATGGCTCAGAATCGTTTGCAATGGCGTAAGTGCATCCATTCGTTGTGCTCTCTCAAACCTAATCTTCTGGATTCGTTAGCACCTCTACATTTGTCTTTCTAACTTTATCTCACTGAATTATACTTCTTGAATTATACCTTCGAAACCTAGTCTTCTTCATTACCATTAATACCTTTACTATCTTTATCACTATGGGATTTGATTTGAAGTTTGCGTCTCTGTGCTAATGTGATATGTCAACTTGAACACTGATGTACATACGTACGAAGTTCTACGTTGCAACTGACTGACTGACTGAAAAAAGTCTAATACATAAAATTAGCGCAATATACAGTTTTTGTTTTTTGAGCAAGTTGAATCCCAAAAAAAATCTTAAATAAAAATCACCAGATTAGTAGTAGTCCTGTATGCGCTAATAAAATTAAATCAGAAGTGTAAAAAAAACGATGAAAGGCACTACTACACTGACATAAAACAGATAGACAGACAGATACAACGCAGAATTTAGTACATAAGTCCATCGGTTCAGGTAGCCATATCACGTCAGCACAGAGATGTAACTGTCAGTTCAAATCCAAGAGTGATAGCAATAATAGAATTATTAGCAGTAATGGAGAGGATTAGGGAGCGAAGATATGATTCGAAAAGTATAATCCAGTGAAATAAATTTATAAGGAGAAAGATAGAGATGATGAGGAATTCAGAAGGTTAGAATTAAAAAGCACACAAAGGGTGGATGCATCTGCGCCATTGCAAACGATTCTGAGCCATGACGTTCAAGGTCTCTAACCATCGATTACTATCGTCTCGCGGACCCCAAACCAGGTAGTCTGCATCTACCAACATGACTAAGTCCACTTGTTAGTGACTTCATGGATTTCTGCCATGTTTTTGGTTTGGCCGCCCCTAGCTTTCTCCCAACCTACTCCCCTACACAACAAAACATAGCTCGTCGAGGCATAAAACTATGAATGAGATATGATCGAAGCAAAAAGATATTTACAAATAGCTCGGTGTGATGTGGTGTGGTGTGGTGTGGTGCGGTGCGGAATAAGCGAAAAAACAGAAACAACTGGTGCCAGCATGTGTGTGTGCGTGTGTGTGTATGTGTGAGCAGTAGGACAATCAATCAATCAATCAATCCATTCCATTCATCTACTACTTACTAAAAGGTGAGTGAAATGTGCAGTTACATTTTAAAAAATTAAATCAATGTGAATAAATATAACAGACACACACACACGCACACATTTTTTTGTCAATTAGGGGAAAAATAAAGCTCGTAAGTGCAGTGTGCATGGTGTTCGGTGAATTCAATTAAGCACAAATTATTGATTATTATTAATATTATTGTCAACCAAAAACAAAACCCAACCTGGATTAACATACAAAAAAGCATAGACAGCATAGTTGAATATCTCTTACCAGAATGTAAGTCTGCTTGGTTAGTATTGTCTGCAATAATCAAAGAGGATGATGACCGTCAGTATTATTATTATTATTATTATTATTTAATGTGATTACGTAATCACTATTAATACCATATTTTCAATTAGAGTTATGGAGATTAGTGTCTGTTGCACATTTGAAATCAATGATCAATCATTGTTAGACCACCATTAGGGGAACCTAGACGGCCGTTTCGTCCTGGTATGGGACTCATCAGCAGTACGCATCCACGACTCACACACCTTGCAGGGTTTGAACCCAAGAAACTAATAATAACTAATATTGAAAATATCGTAAAATGTGACTAACTTTGTGAGGAAATTCTCGGAGAGAAGACGTGATCAGTGGAGTTTAACCCTGTAGGCAGTAACTGCCGAAGACAAATGGGTGAGGTTACGCAAAATCCCTAGATCAATCAGAGTTAGACATTATAACACCGTTGGATGCCGGCCCAGTGGTCTAATGGTTAGGCGTTCGCGCACAGTACTGAAGGTCCTGGGTTCGAATCCTGTAAGGTGCAGGAGTCATGGATGCGCACTGCTGATGAGTCCCATACCAGGACAAAACAGCCATCTAGTACTATTATTACTACCAATATTATTATTCACATGATAATAATAACTATTATTATTATCATCATGAAATAAGCCACTGTGGAAGAGGAGAAGGCGACGAAGCCAACTCCATGCAACAAGGCTTGATAAAGTATTGGCAGTCAGATAAAAAAAATAATCTGAACATGTAATAAGCGAGATCAGCATGCACACACACACATACATACATACACTCAAATAAAATCAACCAAGGTTAGAGGCGAATAATTGACAAGGTCGAAAGATGTGAGAATAAGTCGGGACGAATGAAGTAATCGGTTTGTCGAAAGATTGGGAACAATCCTTCTGGGATCTAGATATTAAAGATTCCCATTGTGAAAATTAGAACAGCACATATAAGCGAACAATATTGTTTTCGATTAGATCGTCATCAGGCTGCTTTACTCTAATATACATGAATATTTATATGAAAATGTTAAACCAATCAAGGCAATTTGAGTGATAATCACAATGAAATGAAAAAGATTACGTAACTACATCTAATAGACAAAAGTTCAAGTGGATAATAGGAAAACAGGTGTACTGATAGTAGTAAGAAAATTTATGTGTTCAGAAGAAATTCGTGACACCCCTATCTCTTCCGTGGCCGGATATGACGTAACTAACGATGGACATTATATTTTTTATTTTATTTTTATTTTTACACATTTGCTTATAACGTAATGGTTTTGATGTTTTTTAATGATTATTTGAATTCTATTCATCCACCTTTGACCTACTTTAGTTATCATATTTTATAAATTTTCTTACTACTATCAGTACACCTGTTTTCCTATTATCCACTTGAACTTTTGCCTATTAAGTGTAGTGACGTAATCTTTTTCATTTCATTGTGATTATCACTCAAATTGCCTTGATTGGTTTAACATTTTCATATAAATATTCATGTATATTAGAGTAAAGCCTGATGACGATCTAATCGAAAACAATATTGTTCGCTTATATATGTTGTACTAATCTAGATATTAGTACACTCACTACAGATCACTAGATAATGACTAATGTCATGTCTGTTAAGTGCTTTTTAGTTTTGATCGAATTCAGCTGACCGTTTGCTATGTGGTCAATGATGTAGGAGACTTTATATCGCGTGCATTATGTTGAGATGTTCAATGACGTTTGAAGGTAGTCGATAGAAAACCTTTTGGTACTCGTCACTATGATGTACCTGCAATTTCGGTGGGACCGATTCTCCCTGTGGTATTCAATCCCATGTCATCCAGTTTCACAGTCATTGTGGTAGTGACCAAACCTCATGTAATAAGCGAAATGAGCATGCACAAACACGCAATCAAATCAAAACAACTAAGATATAAGCGGAAAATTGATAAGGTCAAAAGATGAAGAGATTATGACAAGCCATATGGACTCAACATGTATTAATGAGTACACACACCACTTCAAAAGATTTGACAATATTAGTACAAAAATTGATGAGATTTAACAAGTAAATTTAAATATACGCGCCAAAAGATTGATCAATTTTCAATTTATAAAATAAAATAAATAAATAATAAAGTCATTTTACTTACCAGCTTCTTGTTGTGATGGTTTACCAATCATAATTTTAAAATGACGCAAATCTATAATTGGTAAAGGGAATTCTGGTAGAGATTGTTGTTTCAATGAAACAGTGTCACATTTATTGGATGATGATGATGATAACAACAATAAATTCTGTAAAGAAATTCAAAAAGATCGATAAATAAAAAAAATGTGGGAAATCTGAATTTCCACTAGGATGACATTTAAACTAATACCAGTGTGGTGTGTGCTACTTATACGAACGATATAAGTAGTATAACAATGGACGTGAAAGAAGAAGAAGTCTCACGGTCAGAAGAGGAAAACGGAAAGCAAACGGAACAAAAGCAAGAAGTAAATGGAGTACCAACAAGAAGGAAAGGAAGCAACAACAGGAATAGAAAAAGGATGGAGCTATGGAAGTCATGACTCAAAGATGGTGTGCAAATAGAGTGGTGTTCAATGTAATGTTTTCGTTTTTTAAATGACTAAGAGTGTAAATTTGCTAAATACAATCTATCGCGACTGCCTCAGTCTTCTCACCAGTAGAGAGTTGAACCCTGTCAAGTGTGAGACCACAGGGCCCCCCGTAGAAAAGGGATGAGGTTCAGCAAGATCATGGATCGATCAAAGTTAGACATCAAAACTGCTTGATGTCCGGGTTCAGTGTGGTCTATAGGTTAAGCAATTTGTATGCGAAACCGAAGGTTGTGAGTCCGATCCCCGCTATCAAAGGCGTCGTGGATGCCTACTGCTGATAATTAGTTTTATACTAGGATGAAACAGTCTCCCGGTGCTTACAGATTTCCGAAATCGAGGTCTAGCATTAATCAGTTTATGATGCCCGTCATGATTATGAGTCTTCAATGTAATAAGTATGCTTCACAGTTTGAGTTGAAATCCAATAAGGCATTTGTATTGAATACATGAATGACAGAGAAAACTGAAAATTTGCTTTCAAATATTTAGCAACAACAGCAACAACACTTGTGAAGAACAGAATTTTGTGACTCAAATCTTTAAAAAGAATTAACCGAACAAAAATATATAGGGCTTGTGTAATTTTTTTAAGAACAACAGAATTATCATCGATCAATGACAAGTTTAATGATCAATAATGATTGATTGTATCCGGATAAAATCACAAACAAACACACACACACACACAAGCACACAAACATCAACTCTTATGTTGCATCAGAACGGAAACTAAAATGAAAAAAAGGATGGAAACTTTCAGAATTAATTTATAGACTATTGATTATCATACTTCTACTACCTCTACTACTGCTACTATGAGATTTGAATTGACAATTGCATCTCTCTCTCTGTGTGTGTGTGTGCCAATGTGGTATTATGGTAACTTGAACACTGATGTACCTACGGGGTTCTACGATGTGAACAGCCAGGAGGCAACTGGACGATTTGGACTTGGCAGATGTTCTGGCTCTTCAATCGCACACGCAACACCAAATGCAAGAGAAGACGACCAGTGTAGCAGCAGTAGGTTTTAACATACATAAAGGGAAACGTAAAATTCTCCGATGCAACACAACATGCACCAACCAAATCACTCTTCATGGAGATGGGTTGGAGGATGTTAACACCTTTACATATCTGGGCAGCATCATCGACAATCAAGGTGGATCCGATGCAGATGTGGGGGCGCTGATCGACAAAGCAAGAGCTGCATTTCTACAGTTGAAAAATATCTGGAACTCCAAACAACTTTCAACCAAAACCGAAATCAGGATTTGCAATACAAATGTCAAGAGAGCTCTACTGAACTTGGAGAACTACGAAAGGCATCATCCAGAAGATACAAGTGTTTATTAACAGTTGTCTACGCAAAATACTTCGGATTCGTTGGCCAGACACCATCAGCAACAACGTACCATGAGAAAGAAAACACCAGATTCCAGCGAAGGAAAAAATCAGGAAGAAGCGCTGGAAGTGAATAGGCAACACACTGCGAAACGCACCCAACTGCCTCATAAAACAAGTCCTCATGTGGAACCCTCAAGGTCAAAGCAAAAACAGGAAGGCCAAGGAACACATTACGCCGAGAAATGAAGACAGACATGAGAAGAAAGAACAACAATTGGACAGATCTAGAAAGGAATGTCCAAGACACAGTAGGTTGGAGAATACTGATGGGCGGCCTATGCTTTATTGAGGCTAACAGGCCTAACTGAGTAATTATTACTCATCTATTATTATTGAAGAGCCATTTTTTGTATTTGCCTATTCATGTATTACATCGTTATGATTTATGGATTGGAGTAATGAGAGGTCAACCAGGTTTCAATAATATAATTTGGTTCGATTCGATTGGTGGATTGAATGAGATCAGCAAAAGAATTTTTGAACCAATAGGAAAATGGCTGTTATCTTCAAGGCTATTAGCACATAATCCCGTATTCTGTGATTGGTGTTTTGCCCTATGTCACATATGATTAGCCAGATTAGGCCGAATGATACACAAATTTATAACAATATATAAATTCAGTATTTATTTAATATTTCACATAAAACGTATAAAGTTCCTCTAACATACTAAAATAATCAATACAAAGCTGTGGAGATTACTGAGTTTCATTGAAATGTGAAACGCCAATGCGAGATGATAATAATTGATGGTTAGAGACCTTGAATGACATGGCTCAAAATCGTTCGCAATGGCGCCGGTGCATTTATTCTTTGTGTTCTCTCAAATCCTAATCTTCTGGATTCTTCAACCCCTCTACTTTTGACTTTCTAAACTTTTCTCACTGAATCATACTTCTTGAATAATATCTTCTAATCCTAACCTCTCGGATTACTTCTAATGCCTTTACTACCTCTTCTACTATTGGATTTGAATTGACAATTATATCTCTGTGCTCATGTGGTATGGCAACATGAACTAATTTATTTACGTACGAAGTTCTACGTTGCATCTGACTGACTGACTGAAACGCCAACTCAATGGTCTCTAGCGATTGAGTGTTCGTGTGTGAGACCGTAGGTCACTCGGTTCAATTCCCACGAGCGGGAGACTTGGATGAGCACTGTCACTGATACGTAGTCAGCCTCATACTCAGATGAAACGGATGTTTCTAATGGTGGTCTAACAATATATATGCATACATACTACTTACTGTCAATACAGATAAATATTCTTTCACAAATAATAATTGACGTTCTGCCGATTGTCGACTAGATGAATTCAATGTTTCAGCTAAAGTTTTACTAGATGCAGTTAAATCACCAATCAGGTACGCCTGTTTACCAACACTGAAATTAATATGATCCTAAACACGGACGGAGGGAAAACAAAAGTAATGGAAAATTATAAATCAGCACAATAAAGATTTAGAAATAAGATTGTGGTGTCATTATAATCATGTGGATATCGATCGCTATTACGTCTCTTCTTGATCATCGTCAATCATCATTTAATCTTATTTTAATGATGATAAACTCCGCCTGGAGCCCGTCTTTTGGGGTTACTCCCGGTCCTAAGCGCGGATAAAGGAGGATGGTTGGGCTAACCAGTAAAAAATAATTCAAATCATTTAATGTCTCCTCCAGGGAGTTTGAAGGTCTTCATTTAGAAGAAGAGTTATGATGTTTCATGATGAAAGTGGAGTTTATTCGGAAGTCAAGAGGCTGACGTTCCCGGTTGACAACCAGAGCAACTATTATTGAATTAATGGTGACTAACAATAGACAGCTGTTCCTTTCTGGTATGGAACTGACTCAACAACGAGTGGCAGGAGCACTGCTACTGATGAGCAGTTCCATACCAGGACGAAACAGCCGTCTTTCAATGCTTCCAGGTTTTTTGACGGTCATCTAACAATTACTGATTGATGATTGTTATGTGTAAAATCAATTATCACCATAAATAATTGATAGAAGCTTATAATGATAATCATAGCTCTCCCTATGTTTATACATGTGTATAGTGTGTGCACTACTGTCAAAATTACATAGCTTATTCAAGCTGTAGGACAAACCAATTAATCTGTATTTCCGCAGAGTCATTACCCACACGTGTTTTGACGTTGTTAATTATTCGCTTATAACTATGGTTGTTGTTACTTGAGCATGCGTACCTCCTACATAAGAGTGTGGGAGTGTGTATCGCCTACTTTATTAATCACAAATATATCGAGCTTATCTCTTTGTATTGTATTTCGGTTCAAAGTACATTCCGTGGTGCGTGGTCTATCATTGAGTACTTACTTCAGTGTCTTGGTCATGTCAGACGAGTTGAGGTGTAAAATTACAGTGTTCAAATTTTGATGTGATGTGTGAGTGTGGGAGTGTGTATCGCCTACTTTATTCATCACAAAAAAATATCAAGCTTAACTCTGTGTATTGTATTTTGTTTCGAAGTACATTCGGTGGTGCGTGGTCTATCACTGAGTACTTACTTCAGTGTCTTGGTCATGTCAGACGAGTTGAGGTGTAAAATTACAGTGTTCAAATTTTGATGTGATGTGTGAGTGTGGGAGTGTGTATCGCCTACTTTATTCATCACAAAAAAATATCAAGCTTAACTCTGTGTATTGTATTTTGTTTCGAAGTACATTCGGTGGTGCGTGGTCTATCACTGAGTACTTACTTCAGTGTCTTGGTCATGTCAGACGAATCGTGGTGCAAAATTACAGTGTTCTGTTAGGATATTCATCCAATATCCTAAGAGAAATATTGTTCAATTCCTATTAGTTAATTCCTACTGGTCAATTTTATGGTCGTCCTAGATATCAATGTCACTTCAAATGTTGCTTCCCATCGGTCGTCTTAACTGTCAATGTCACAAGACTTCGATGCTGTTTCCTATTCGACCAAAATGTATAAATACACATTATCTGTAACTGTTTATGACCAGGACCAGGACCCGGATCCCTAGTCCGGGATCCTGATTCTTTTCTGGACTCAGACCTCGAACTTCCTGGATGCTTGTAGAATAAAGATTCTACTTCATATCATGTCTTCTTATTTTCACTCAATATGGGGGCGGGGTCGGGATAATCGGATTTGAGTAGTATGTCGTGTCACCGGATCCTCGCTCTCGTTTTCCGACTAGGTAAACTCGTAATAGTTCAAGTATATCAAGTTGACGTGTTTACGTACAGGCGTAACATGTTAAAATTTTGATGTGATGTGTGATACGTTGTGAGTCATGCCTACTACTTATTCAAACATGTCTGTGGTCTGCACAAACTTATCGAGGTCAATCCCATCTGTGGTTTACACATTTCACTGCCATCGTATAAAACACGAACAAACCACAGAGTGTGGATAAACAGCATTAAAAAGGAACGATTAAATTCTACATAAGCATGATTATAATTAATTTTTCTTTCAAATTAGAATCAAAATGTCAGACCATTAAAATATAGTGAACATTGAACAAGTCGATTTGAACATTGAACCCCAACTATCCTACAACATTATATGCACGGATACAGAAAGCTCGATTGGCTTTTGCCAACCTGCGTCACTTATGGTGTAGCCGTGATATCCGCTTGTTAACCAAAGGACGAGTGTACTGTGCAGCAGTTCGCTCCGTCCTACTGTACGGATGCGAAACATGGCCGTTAAGAGTAGAAGATGTTCGTAGGTTACTAGTATTCGATCATAGATGTTTAAGAAGCATTGCTCGTATATCGTGGGACAACCGAGTAAGCAAAGCTATCGTTCGGAAACGAGTACTAGGTAACGATGGTAGATCAATAGATGAAGTAGTGAGACTTCATCAGTTGAGGTGGTTGGGACATGTGTTACGTACACCTAACCACCGACTGACTCGACGAGCTGTGTTTTATGGTGTAGGAGTAGGTTGGAAGAAAGCTACGGGCGGCCAGACCAAAACATGGCAGAAATCCATGAAGTCACTGACTAGTGGACTGAGTCACGTTGGTAGATGTACACTACCTGGTTGGGGTCCGCGAGATGAAAGTCACCAATGGTTAGAGACCTTGAATGACATGGCTCAAAATCGTTTGCAATGTCGCAAGTGTATCCATTCTTTGAGCTCTCACAAATCCTAATCTTCTGGATTCGTCAACACCTCTACTTTTGTCTTTCTAACCTTATCTCACCGAATTATACTTCTTAAATAATATCTTCAAATCCTAGTCTTCTTCATTACCATTGATACCACCTCTACTATCTTTATCACTATGGGATTTGATTTGACATTTGCGTCTCTCTCTGCGCTGATGTGATATGGCAACATGAACTTATGTACTACATACGTACGAAGTTCTACGTCACAACTGACTGATTGACTGACTGACTGACAACATTATATCTAATAATAGTTAGTTATAAAAACAAAACAAACATGAATAACCAACCAACCAACCTCTAACAGACTCCATCCATGACCCATTACAATTGGCATAGCTAATTTATAACTACGTATTGCCAAATATGGCTAATAAGGAAAACAAAAAAAAATCGAAAAACAATTTCTTCAATAAGTAGGGTAGTGGTAGTGGCGAGAAGAGAGAGAAAATATGAACAAATTAATTTGTTTGTTTATTCCAAAAAACAAAAGGTTAATTGAAATGAAATTCTGTGTTTTGTGTTTTCTCTCTCTCTATTCAATGGTGGTCACACGATTTAAAGGTTGATGTTTTGATGATAATTTATTAATCAATGTTAGACCACCATTAGAAACCTGGAAGCACTGGACGGCCGTTTCGTCCTGGTATGGGACTATTCATCAGCAGTGCGCATCCACGACTCCTGCACCCCGCAGGATTCGAACCCACGACCTTCGGTATTGTGCGCGAACGCCCTAACCGTTAGACCACTTTGATTTCGTGTGCTTTTTGCAACTATGAGGGTGGATGTTAGTTCCTGGCTGCCCCCACACCGTGAAAGGGTACTTTTTGAGGAAACTGAAAAGGAAGGTAGATTAGTGTTGGTTGCAGAGATCTAGGAGAGTGACCGCAGAGCCTGAGGGACAATTGCTTGACGCCGGTCACATACAGCCTTTTTGTTAAAATGTTTGAAAGTGTTAGCTCCGCCCTTATTTAAAAGGCCTTACAGCCGGAGACAGAAATCTGTGAAGTAAGGTGAGGTGTGACATTTCTAGGGTCCACCATTTCTAACTAATTCCTTCCTTCCTTATGAAAAGACAGCATCACTGTAGATGCTGACTGTCCGAGGGAAACACCTTACTGCTGTCACACCCCTCTACAGTAGGCAGTACGGTTTTGCTCTTAAGCTTTGAGTGGCTGATTTTAGTCTCATCGTTCTCCAATCGACCTGCCTGGCATGGTAGAACCTTCAGGACAATATAGCTCGGTTGGGTCACAACGACAGGCAAGCCCGATCACCACGTAAAGGTAGCAGCTATGTGGTCGGGTAATGTGGTCCTGTTTTGTGTGCATATAAAGGTATGTCTGAAACATCGTAGTGAATCCTGGACTAGTGGACCTTGATATTCCTTATTCTTCTTCGACTGGTGCAGTAACATTTTAGTTATGTAGTTTCGCTGAAAAGAAGAACAATTTTAACTAGTCGCAGCAACTTTCCACATAAATACAAGAATAATTTTCAGTTAGAAATTGGATCTAACCAGTTTTTGATCATGAGTATTGCAATTCAACTAGTAAGTATAATAACAGAGAATTATCAAAGATATTTAAAAAATTTTTATTCTAAGTAAATTATATATATGAGTTATGAATATATTTAAAACCTGTTTAGCTCGACTGTATCGATGCGCTGCCAAAGCCATACGAAATGCAAATTTTCTTAACATTGGACGTTTCAAAGATAGAACACAATAGGCAATTTGTTCAATAAGCAAGCCGCTGATTAAATCATCTTCCTAAAATACAAAACAAAATTACATTAGTCAAAACACAACAACAATGATGAACAGATTGATCATGCTAGGATAAAACAAAATATACACACAATATTTTGGGGCATAGTTTTGGAGGTTTGCGTTTTTACACATTTGAAATCATCAATCAATAATTGTTAGACAACCATTAGAAACCTGGAAGCACTGGACGGCCGTTTCGTACTGGTATGGGACTCATCAGCAGTGCGCATCCACGACTCCTGCTCCTCGCAGGATTCGATCCCGGGACCCTTAGCATTGTAGGCGAACGCCTTACCATCGGACTACACACAACACAGTTGTGCCGTCATGTCAAAACACCAATAACAATAAGTCAGACAATGATCGACGGTCTGTAATAAATGTCAGTTAGTTAGCTACAACAACATAGAACTTCGTGCGTACGTAAGTACGTACATCAGTGTTCAAGTTACAATAACACAATAGCACATAGAGATGGAATTGTCGATTCAAATCCCATAGTAGTCAGTTGCAACGTAGAACTTCGTACGTGTGTACATAGGTTCATGTTGCCATACCACATTAGCAGAGAGACGCAAATGTCAAATCATATCACGTAGTGATAGAGATAGTAGAGGTGGTATTAATGGTAATGAAGAAGACTAGGGTTCGAAGATATTATTCAAGAAGTATAATTCAGTGAGATAAGGTTAGAAAGACAAAGGTAGAGGTGCTGACGAATTCAGAAGATTATGATTTGAGAGAGCGCAATGAATGGATGCACTTGCGCCATTGCAAACGATTTTGAGCCATGTCGTTCAAGGTCTCTAACCATCGATCACTGTCATTCCGCGGACCAGGTCGTCGACACCTACCTAACCATGGGTGACTTTCGTCTCGCGGACCCCAACCTGGTAGTCTACATCTACCAACATGACTGAGTCCACTTGTCAGTGACTTCATGGATTTCTGCCATGTTTTGGTCTGGCCGCCCTTCTTCCAATCTACTTCTACACTGCAAAACATAGCTCATCGAGGCAGTCAGTGGTTAGGCATTTGTAACACATAGTAGTAGTTGAGGTAGTAGAAGTATTAACAGTAATGGAGAAGAATAGGGTTCGAAGATATGATTCGAGAAGTATATATCTCAGTTAAATGAAAGTGGGAAAGGAAACTGTCATGAGAAACTCAGAAGATTAGAGTTTGAGAGAAGCTAAAAAGGAATGGATGCATTTTCACGATTGCACTCGATTTTGAGTCATACCATTCAATGTCTCTAATCATCGGTTACTATCGTCTCACGGACTCCAACTAGGTGGTAGTCTACACCTACTAATATGGCTCAGTCCAGTTGTCAGTGACTGTATGGATTTGTGCCATGTTTTGGTTTGACTGCCCCCAGCTTCCTTCCAGCCTACCACCCCCTACACCAGGCATCATCTTTATTAAATGATTCAAAATCTAAGTTAAAAATAATATAAGAACGCAAAATATTTTAGCCAATGATAACACAGTCTACTCTCTATATATCATATCTCAATGTTTAAGAAACAATTCGAATGAATGAGCACTATGTAAAGTAACATTCGACTAGATGAAACAATACAAGATGATTGGTTGTTAAATTGACACATCTCTTACAGAAATTTATAACTTGTGTGTGATACACAACACTTAAAGATATTGAAGTATAAACTAAGAAATAGTAGCAGGGAATTAAATAAATGTCGATCTCTTAGCATTACCATGCAGATTGAATATTAGTCTGAGTTGTCCTGTTTGGATTGGGCATAGAGTCAAATCCCAGTATAGTAGAGGTGGTAATGGAAAAGATGAGAGATCAGAAATGCGATTGAAGAAAACATTATTTATGTATTACAGAAATAAGAACTGTTTAGACATTTCAAGTACAACTATTTTATTTAAACATATAATTATTGGTATTGAATTTGTGAGTAGGCTGAGATCCTGCCCGGGTGCTCAAACTGAACGAAATGCTTCTCTAAGGGGGCCACTAACTAACCCTTTTACATACAGATCTAATACACAAAACATTGGAGCAATTTCAGGAGGTGCAATTCTATCGGTAGATAGTCATCCTCAATAAGCTCATTCGCCGTTTGCATCCACAGTGTCCTTCGGTACAAATGCACTGTACGCTTGGGATGAGGATTTTCCAACTCCCTTAAGTGGGTGTGGGGTACGCTTTTGCTTTTCGTCCCCTCACTTATGTAAATAACATCTTCGACATGCGAAGGCAGGGGGTAGGTGTTGGGGGTGTAGATCCCCAAAACTCGCTTGATAAAAAATGCCTTATTTCGGACTTCACGTTTGCCAGCATGGGTTGATCAGTTGACCTTCAGATCTCATTTCCCACCACGAAAATCCATGGCTGTGATTGGCTGCTGTGTATTTTAGTGTGCTATTTTCGTAACTGTCCCAAGGACGTTTCTATGATGTATAAACAAACGAGATTTGTTTGTTTTATTGCATTGTGCTTGCTGGGTGTTTGTAGAATATACTTTCTACGCTTATAAAGCCCTTTATTTTCAGCTTGGGATTCAAGGTAGCCTATCTGGACGATGGTAATTGTCTCGTTCGTGTTTATCGACTAAGGTGAACTCGTAATAGCTTCAAGCGTACCTAGTGACGGACCTACAGTAGGACTTCCCCAAAATTACTTGTATAACTATGACCATACGAGAGCATTTACAGAGGAAAAGATGGCTCACTCCACTCTCGGCCGTATCACAATCGGACCAAAGAAATAGATTTTGTGTTATATCATTAAGTAATGTGTCCTAAAATATATGCGCGAAGAGTATGTTAATCTGGAATACGATATCTGCATTTTATGGTAACCTCACAAACATTTGAGTTTATTCACACTTAATTTAGTTAAGCCCTTTCTTTCGTTAACTTATTTAACAGAGTATCTAATTCGTACCGCAATAACTTATCGATATCACCGTACTTTTATTATTGTTGTGCTTGTACGAACATGTATGCTTGAGTATTGCTTACCACCTAACCGCATACATATTCATTCTATTCACTTTCATGTTAATCGCTTAAATATTTAATTCGTTAACAGTATCAACTATTTTTATATTTTTTTGTTCAGCATAGAATCGATCAAAAGAATTTCAACAAGCATTCACAATTTAAGGAGTACCGGTTTCTAAATTGTTAGCGTCCATTATACTTAGACGTCTAACTAGAGCTCGTGAAGAGCAGACTCGAGAAAACCAGGCTGGTTTTCGACTTGGACGTGGTTGTATATATCACATCTTCACACTACGACAGGTCCTGGAACACAGATACAAATCTAGGCGTCCTACAATAGTTGTTTTCCTGGACTTAAATGCGGCATTTGACTCAGTGGATCGTGACGTTCTGTGGCAGTGCCTGTCATTAAAAGGTGTACCAAAGAAGTACATTACCTTTATGCAAGCTCGCTACTCGAACACTACAGATCGAGTTAGAGCTTATGGCGAACTGTCACCGGAATTCTCTACATCAAGTGGTGTCCGTCAGGGCTCTCCATTCTTGTTTAATTTTGTCATAGACATGCTCCTAGAAATAACCTTATCGTCGTCTAAATTTTCAGGAGTAGACCTTTTACCTGCTGGCTCGCTTATTGACTTAGAATATGCCGATGACATAGTCCTACTTAGTGAAGACGCTGACAAAATGCAGAGTCTTCTGACCACGCTAAGCAACAATCCAAGAATGTTCGGGATGCGGTTTTCCCCTTCGAAATGCAAAATGTTGCTTCAAGATTGGGTTTCATCGGCACCTGAACTCTAGTGATAGGGAGTGAAGTAGTCGAACGTGTAGACCGCTTCACTTATCTTGGGAGTCTCATCAGTTCTGATGGCCTGGTACATACGTATGTATGTATGGTATGTACATACGTACGAAGTTCTTACGTTGCAACTGACTGACTGACTGACTGTGTTAGGATGAACAGTATACAAAAAGTTTAAAGATATATTATCGAACATTGACCGCCACAATGCACTGACATGGTTAATCCTCATCAAATCATCACAGATGATGATGATTTCATGGGATTATGACTTATTAGTCTCTTAGCTCTTTGCAATTCAAGTTCTATAATATGTCAACCCCCCACTGGTGGACATCGCATGCATAACATGTTTTTAGTAGCATTATCAATCAAACTTTGAATTGTGTTTTCTTTTCTATCGATCTATCTATCTATCTAGTAATAAAATGTTTATGCGTTTTAGCTTCCTATTTAAACTCTGATGAATTATCAATCGGTTTACATCATATATATTATTCAGTTTGTAATTTCTTACAGTCGATTGTAGGCGAACGCCTAACCATTGGACCACTGGGCCGGCATCCAACGGTGTTAATGTCACACTCTGATTGACCTACGGATTTCGCGTGACCTCACCCATTTGTCTTTGGTAGTTACTACCTACGCCCAACAGGGTTGAACTCCATTGGTCACGTCTTCTCAACTAGAACTCCGAGAATCTCCTCACGAACCTAGTCACTAGTGAGCACTGTTACGACATTTTCGGGCAGAGTTTTGGAGGTTTGTGTTTGTACACATTTCAAATCATCAATCAATCATTGTTAGACCACCATTAGAAACCTGGAAGCATTGAAAGACGGCCGTTTCGTCCTGGTATGGGACTACTCATCAGCAGTGCGCATCCACGACTCCTACACCACGCAGGATTCGAACCCTGGACCTTCGGTTATGAGCACGAACGCTTAACCATCGGACCACTGGGTCGGCATCCAACGGTGCTTCCGGGTTTCTAATGGCGTTCTAACAATGATTGATTGATGATTTCAAAAGTATATATATGTATCAACAAGGTCCTTATACTTCATAAATCTTCAAACCACTGAGCTACATTGCTAAAAATACAGCTGAAGGTTTCCTATGAGACCAGAGGTTCGTCACGATGAACATTGTGGATAGTTTGGCATTACTGTGAGCAAGTTTTGAGAATTGTTCAGTTGCGAATTCGTGTTGCAGGGTGATCGATTTCATTGGTTGTCTTGCAACATTACGGAGGTGTATCGCTAATGTTGGCCTTTGTAATGCATATCACCATTGCTAATAATAATGAGTTTGTGACAGTCATGTAAGCGGAATGGGTCATACTGGCCTGTTCATGCTGTGCATATTGATTGACGACGTGATCATGGTGTGAATGGATCAGCACCAGAGTGTCAGCTGCCTGTGTGGTGAGTGTGCCATAGGATTGTGCTGTACCTGGAAAATATCTGGTTCTCATGCAAAAACCAATGTGAAACCAACCCTTGCCTATTCAGAATCCATTTATATAACTGTTAATCTTTGGACTTCATAACAGCACAACGACCTAGAACATTACGTATTTACTAAGAACAAGTTATATGTACTTGAGCTTTGAGTTATACACACCCTGTAACAGTGAGTAATGCTGCCTAATTGAAATTGATCACTAAATCATTACTCATTCATAGTAAAATAAAACTGATAACAAAGTGATTACCAAAAACTTTACCGCTAGTCAACAATTACAATTTGACTAATAATGGAAATTACAAAATGTTAACGTATTCTATGAAAAGTTTAAAAAAGTATGTCAATATTCTTGTACATTGTTTAACTGAACTCCGCCTGGCGCACCTCTGGGGGCTACTGCCGGTCCTAATCCCGAATAAAGGAGGAGGTGGTGGGTTGATCATGGGGATTAGCGACCTTATCCCGTAAAAAACTAACTCGCTAAAAAATCAATCAATTAAATTAAAAAAGGTATGATAATTTGCATTATTTTTTTTTCTCATTTGACTTACATCGGAAGTTAAACGAATCAATGCCATAGCAGCTTCATTATACAGGCCACGACTACATAATGCTTCGAAATTTAACAGAGTCGATCGTAAAGCAAGTTCTAGTGATCTGAATAATAATAATACATGATATACATATATTTTTTCTGATTCAATATTCAATATAGACAAAGAATGAACAATGATATTAGGATTTCTGTTGGGGAGGTTAGATACCCAGAACTCACTTGATAAAGGTCCTAATTTTCGATTTTACGCTTTCGCGTATGGGCTGATCAATTGACATTTAAATTACATTTCCCACTTAAAAAGTCCTTGACAGGTATTGGCTGATGTGTTAAATTTAGTACGCTATTTTTGTGACTCTCTCAAGGACGTTTCTATCAATTACAAATAAACTCGATTTGCGTGATTTTCCCCTCGAAATGCAAAATGTTGTTTCAACACTGGGTTGTATCGGCACCTGAACTAGTGATAGGGAGTAAAGTAGTTGAACAAGTAGACCGCTTCACTTATCTTGGGAGTCTCATCAATGCCGATGGCCTGGTGACTGACGAAATCTCAGCTCGGATACAGTAGGCTCGATTGGCTTTTGCCAACCTGCGTCACTTCTGGCGTAGACGAGATATCCGGTAATTGTCGACTACCTGGTTGAGGTCCGCAAGATGATAATAATCGATGATTAGAGACCTTGAATGACATGACTCAAAATCGTTCGCAATGGCGCCGGTGCATTTATTCTTAGCGTTCTCTCAAATCCTAATCTTCTGGATTCTTCAACACCTCTAGTTTTGACTTTCTAAACTTTTCTCACTGAATCATACTTCTTGAATAATATCTTCTAACCATAACCTCTCCGATTACTTCTAATACCTTTACTACCTCTTCTACTATTGGATTTGAATTGACAATTACATCTCTGTGCTGATGTGGTATGGCGACATGAACTGATGTACTTACGTACGAAGTTCTACGTTGCATCTGACTGACTGACTGACTGATTTGCGTGATTGTAAACCTCACATTTTCTAGGTGCTTGTAGAATACACTTTCTACACCATATCAAGTCTTCATCCTTTACTCAATGGGGGTTCGGTAGCCTGTCGTGCAGCCGGATCCTCGATCCTCGCTCCTGTTTACTAAGGTAAAATCGTAATAGTTCAATCAAATCAAATAACGTGTTTTTATGAGCGTGCGTAACACCTTGAGTTACGGCTTTCAGTCTTACCGTTCTCCAAACGACCTGTATGGCATAGTAAAACCAACAGGAACATATGTTTCAGCCAATATAGTTTCGTTTGGTCATCATGCTAGGCAAGCCAAACTATCACATCAAGGTAGCAAGCAGCTACGATCAGGAAATCTTCCAGTCATACACTAGTATGTCTTATTTGATAAAATTGTAATATTCAACAATTTCACCTAATGCGAAATCGCTCTAGATTTTGACAACAATAGAGTAGATCTTCAATATTTATATGATAGGTTAAAATTTCGTGTAAAATAAAAGCAGAAAAGCATTTGGTTTAATGATTTGTCAGAACTTACAAATGGGATTGAAGGTAAGTAGTTACAGCGGAATCCATAAAATGATATGGATATTGACGTTGACTTGTTCCACCTTGAAGATAAACAGATAAGGCAGACATTTCCTAAAAAATTAAACATGAATGAGAGAATAAACAGTAACAATAACAATAATAACAAAACTATGAAATAGCAGACGCTGCATTGACCGGTTGACTATCAATTTAGGCAGAAAAAAAACACACGAGAATAGAGTATTGGGTTCTTCACTAAGTATGCTTGAGGCTATTACGAGTTCACCTTAGTCGATAAGCGCGAACGAGACTTTTACCAGCATCCAGGTAGGCTACCTTGAACCCAAGGCATTTAACAAGCGAGTTTTGGGGATCTAACATCTCCAACAAGAGATAGCGGATAGTGTCAAAGTCTCAAGGGAATGTGATAACACTACTGGTCGAGTAAATACCTCATCATTATCATCATCATCATCATCATCATCATCATCAACAGCAACGTAGAACTTGGTACGTAAGTACATCAGTTCAAGTTTCCATATCACATTAGCACAGAGAATCAATTGTCAGTTCAAATCCCATAGTAGTAGAGGTAGTAAAAGTATTAGAACTAATCGGAGAGATTTGGTTTTGAAGATATTATTCAAAAAGTATAATTCAGTGAGGTAAATTTAGGAAGAGAGAAAGATAGAGGTGATGAGGAATTCAGAAGGTTAGAATTTCATAGATCACAAAGAATGAATGCACCTGTGTCATTGCAAACGGTTTTGAGTCATGTCAATCAAGATCTCTAACCGTCGATTACTATCATTTCGCCGACCCCAACCAGGTAGTCGACACCTACCAACTTGACTCAGTCCACTTGTTGTCAATGACTTCATGAATTTATGCCATGTTTTGTTCTGCCCGCCCCTAGCTTTCGTCCAATCTATTCCTACACTACAAAACACCGCTCGTTGAGGCAGTCGGTGGTTAGGCATACGTAACAACACATGTCCCAATCACCTCAACTGATGAAGTTTCATTACTTCATCGATTGACCTGCCATCCTTACCTAGCACCCGTAAATGCCCCGGCTGAATCAATTACGCAGGTATATGACTCAAACTAATTTTTAAACTGTGACGAAAAAAGGGGGTCATAGTTTTATAATACTTCTTAAGTCACACATACCAAAAAGGTGATATGTTAGTTGAAGTAAGAGTTTTTCAGGAGAATTCGATGATTAGAAGATTACTATTACTACTTGTCCATGGTTTCCGATTACGCAGCTATCTATGAAACTACACTGTTTTTTTATCAGAATGCATAAAACTATTGGATCTAGTGACTGACGATTTATGGACGCTTCACTTTAAACTTGATCACAGTGACTTAGATGTATTCGACACAACTAATTCATTGACAAATCACAAGTCAGTCAATCAGTCAGTTATAAAGTAGAACTTCGTACGTAAGTACGTACATCAGTTCAAGTTGCCACACGACATTTACACAGAGACGCAATTGTCAGTTCAAATCCAATAGTGGTAGAGATAGTAGAAGTATTAGCAGTAATCGGAGAAATTAGGGTTGGAAGATATTATTCAACAAGTAGAATCTCGTGAAATAAACTTAAAAAGAAAAAGGTTGAGGTGATGAGGAATTCAGAAGATTAGAATTTCATAGAACAGAAAGAGTAAATGCACCTGAGCCATTGCAAAAGATTTTAAGCCATGTCGTTCAAGGTCTCTGACAATTGATGACTTTCATCTCGCGGACCCCAACCAAGAACTCTGCACTTACCAATATTACTCAGTTCACTTGTCAGTGACCTCATGGATTTATGCCATGTTTTAGTTTGACCGCCCTAAGTTTCTTCCAACTTACTCCTACACCAACAAACATCGCTCGTTGAGGAAGTAGGTGGTCGGGCATTCGTTACAAATCACAAGAGTACATTATAGCGTCAAAAAAATCAAAAGTGCCATTCAGAGTCAATAATAATCATAATACTAAAACCTTAGAATATACTTGGGTGTATTAGGCATAAATAATAACCCTTACAAAAATGAATTAAACATCATGTTTAGAAAGTTAAACTATTCTAAATATACAATGTATTTTTAAAGCCAATATGCAAAAGCAGGCAAAATCATAAGAGGTAGGAGAGCTACAATGACAGGTTTATTAAAAAGCCACTGAACCACAAGAAATAAACTGAATAAATATGATGTCATTTATAAAAAAAATGGTTCAACATAACCTGTACTACTTATTATAATTAAGTAGTATATACCAATGTTTGAATCCAAGGAACATGGTCGCTATTTGAAAAGATACTTAATCTAGCTCTAGAGATGATGTAATTCCATTGACAATATCCTTTAGCAGGATTAACAACACAACATTCTGTTGAGGTTAATTATTACTCACTTCAATACACCCCTAGAGTGAAAGCCAGGTGATAAACAGCGCTGGTGAAGGCCTTAGTCATCTATTAGATTTGATAGTTGATTGAGAATTCTTTCTCACTAAATTAAGTAATTGCTCCTGCTTCATAGTTTCTCTATAAATGAAAGATTTGTCATTCTCTTGATAGAAATCATGAATCGATCAGCGTTAGACCATTACAACCACCGTTACAAACCTGGAAACATTGGACGGCCGTTTCATCCTAATGTGGAACTACTTACTCATTAGTGACAGGGCGTATCTACGACCTAAACTTTCTGGAATCGAACCCATGGCATTCGATCTTGTACACACGTGAACAGCTAACCTCGAGACCACTCAGTCAGTCAGTTACAACGTAGAACTTCGTACGTACATACGTACGTACATCAGTTCAGGTTGCCGTACCGCATTAGCATAGAGACGTAAATCTCAATTCAAATCCCATAGTGGTAGAGATAGAGACCACTCACTAAGCCAGCATCTAATGGTGTTGTCTAACTTCGATCAATCCATGATCTGGCGACAAATTTATTCGCAAATCATGAACAAAGAAAGGGCAAGAATAATAATTATTCATATAACAGAAATCACTTTACCTGAGCTCCAGCATAATGTAACCAAGAGGAATCATTTTGAAAATCACGTTTTAATACATTGTACGTTTGATAAGCTACTTCATATTGTTGAAATAGAAATGCTAAATCAGCTAAACGACGCATTTGTGATTCCGGTGAATCATAACTATACACAATAGTGGAATGATGATGCTGATGATGATTAATTGTAGCTGTATTATTCTGATGAGGAGTTAATATACTACTACTAATACTACTACTATTAGGAGGAGGAGACGATAATTCATCTTTTGAATGATTGACAATAACGTTGGTGGGATTGACTGGATCACAGGCATTAGATATAGTAGAGTTAGTTGAGATTTCATTAGGTGGCAGTGATGAGAGTGATTGATTAGGATAAATCTTAGAAGTGGTCAAATTATTTGTAGTTGTATTATTACTACTAACTGTGGAAATAGTAGTAGTAGTGTTGATTCCACCGGTACCCACTGCTCCTGCTCCTCCGCCTCCACCACCACCGCCGCCAACAGCTTGAGTGAAAAATTTTTTTGTTGCACTAAAGAATGAACGTGAAAGACGCATTCGATGCGCAATCTGTAAAATAAAGTGACATATGGAAAACAAAGAGTACAACAGTACAAATGCATTCATGATGTATATATATGGATTTTGTATATATATGACATAATAATGAATACTTACTTTTTGAGTTGATTAACAGCTGATTAATAAATAGTAGTTAGGATATTATTGATTTAATGAACTCTTTACTTACTGATTACAATGACGACGTTAAAGATCGTTTCTACAAAAGGCTTCAGTCAATCGTCGAGAAATGTTCACCAAAGGATTTGACCATTCAGATGGGAGACCTGAATGCCAAGGTTGGAATGGACAACACTGGATATGAAGACATCATGGGACGACATGGACTGGGAGAAAGGAACGAAAACGGTGAGAGATTTGCAAACCTATGTGCCTTCAACAAACTGGTCATCGGTGGCACAATATTCCCGAACAAACGCATTCACAAAGCTACATGGATTTCACCGGACCACACTACTCAAAACCAAATTGACCATATCTGTATCAACAAAAGGTTCAGAAGGACCATGGAGGATGTGAGAACCAAGAGAGGAGCTGATATAGCCTCAGATCACCATTTACTGATTGCCGAAATGAAACTGAAACTAAAGAAGCACTAGACAACGGGGCAGACAACATCACACAAGTTAATTACGGCCTTTCTTCGGGATACCGTAAAACGTAACGAATTCAGGATAGCCCTCACCAATAGGTTCCAGGCCTTTCAGGATCTACTCAATGGAGAGGAAACAACCATGGAGAAAAATTGGAATGGGATCAAGGAGGCAATCAACTCAACATGTCACGAAGTTCTGGGTCAGAAGCAGCACCACCACAAGGAATGGATCTCTGTTGATACTCTTGCAAAAATTGAAGAAAGGAGGAACAAGAGGGCAGCAATCAATGTCAGACGAACAAGAGCAGAGAAAGTCATATTACACCGAGAAATAGAGAAAGACATGAGAGGAATGAACAAACATTGGACAGAACTAGAGAGGGAAGCCCAGGACAAAGTTGGATGGAGGAAACTGGTGGGCGGCCTATGCTCCATTGGGGGTGACAGGCGTAAGTAAGTTACTTACTGATTGAACATGCCGTTATATCTACACATCAATGAAAGTCGCAAACATATTTTTATTTACTATTTTTTGGAATTAACTCTGCCCAGAGCCCTTCTGGGATAACTGACGGTCCCACGCCCGGATAAAGGAGGAGGGTTGGGAATGGGAATTAGCGACCCTATCTCGTAGAAATTCAACTCGCTAAAAATGGGAAAAAAAATGCTAACCAAAAAAATAATTCGCTGGTCGATCGCAGCACTTCTCGCTGTTCTAGTTTAGAGCTGTAAAACATGGCCAGTAGGAGTATAGGATACTTGTGGTTTCCGATCATAGGTGTTTCCAAAGTCGTGTTAGTTTATCTTGGGATTGTCGAGTAAACAATTCTTCTGTTGGGGAACGGGTACGAGGTAAGGATGGGAGATCAATAGATGAAGTATTGAAACCCCATCAGTTGAAGTGGTTGGGACATGTGTTACGAATGCCCAACCACCGACTGCCTTGTCGAGCTATGTTTTGTAGTGTAGCAGTAGGTTGGAAGTAAGTTAGGGGCGGCCAGACCAAAACATGGCACAAATCCATGAAGTCATTGACAAATGAACTGAGTCATGTTGGAAGACGTAGGCTACCTGGTTGGAGTCCGTGAGACGAAAGTCACCAATGGTTAGAGACCTTGAACAACATGACTCAAAATCGTTTGCAATGGCGCAGCTGCATCCACACTTTGTGTTCTCTCAAATCCTAACCTTCTGAATTACTCATCATCTCTATCTTTCATATGCATTAATTAATGTAATATGTTTATGAATAGATATATAGCAGATAGAACCACAATTAAATTACCTGATCATTTAAACTACGCATAGTTTTCTCTACCCAAGGTAGAAGAGCTCGTACACTAAAATCATACACAAACATGTGTATACGATCTCGATCAGCTTGTGTTAAATGTTGTCCATGTGGTTGACTATACCGATAAGGTAAGAATGGATACATTGGTGATTGAGAATGATGAACACTTGTAGCCGGTAAACAAGATGTATCATGAAGTGAGGTTTTGCTGGGATCTACGGGAAACAAAAAACCAAAGTGGAAAATACATACATAAACGAATATAAACACTGAAATGAATTTCATCGAGAGACTGATCGATTTAATTCTTAAAACAGAAAACAGCCAAAACCTTGACAAGAACTGATAGCACAGTTACATCTTCTATTGCCTAATATTGTCTGGAACATATGACTTCAATCATATATGTTAGCGGGACGTAGATGGGATTAAAACATGATTGCGTTGTTGCACGCTGATTGGCTGTTTTATATCCAATCAGCGCTAATCGATACTAAGGGAACATTCGAGAATCTTCTATACTTCCTTAAAACCTTGGTTTTGGAATATAATCTCTTTTATTATTGTTCAACCGCGTTCTGATTTGGAAGAACATCTAGAGTGAATTGGGGTCAGAGAATACTTAGCATTAGTAGGTATAGCTGAGTTGTACTAAAAAGGGAATTATAACATCCTAGTGTGGTGCTAGCTACTTATAAGTAGTATATGACGTGAGTTTCAACGTAATGTCTGGCAGCATAATATGGGGGAAGATCAAGAAAGAAAGAGTTAGAACACAATGGAATTTGTATGAAACGCATGAATAGTGACAATGGATTGACGTTTTGCAACAGGAACAGTCCAGTTCGATATGATGGACTGATATTTTGCAAATGAACGATTTACGATATGGTTTTCCAATTTTATTGAGTAACTCTGTAATTTTCGTTATATACAATTCGGTTGCCCCACCTGTGTTCTCGTTCACTACACTAGTAGTAAGGCAATAGACGAATAGGAAGAAAACGAAACTGTTTTTTTTTCAAAAGTGAACAGTAAAAGTTAGTGCATTAAACATTTTATGACTGATGTAAAGAAGTTCAAACATAAAATTTCAAGTAACTTTTCAATCGATTACGCAGCACTGATTGGTTGAAAATAAACCAATCAGCATGCTTCAACTATATCTTTCTTAAGAGCGCGCTTAACAAAACGTTATCCTCTTAAAAACCATAGAACACGCCACAGTTACTACAATCTCATAGTTTGATGAAGTAATATGTTCATGTCATATTAAAGATAAACAGCACTCATCATCACTTAGGGTAAATTCAGTTGATGGGTTCAAATCGAAGTGTAAAGCACACATACGACTTGCATTCCACAACTAACCGAGGCGAAATCAAAAAATTCTTGAAAAAGCTCAATAAACGCACATTTATGATTTTAGTGAATTTCATTAGGCTTTGAATCATAAATTACACTTAGTTGTTGAGAACATTTGAGTTATTTTACATGCAAATACAATATACATATAAATATATGTAAGCGTATTTTTTCTTAACTGAACTGTATTTATCTGCATATGATAAGACTGAGGCAGGCGAGGAAGATTGTATTATGCAAATCTACACTCTGAGTCAGTTAAAAACGAAAACATTACAACATTGAACACCACTCTATTTGCACACCATCTTTAAGTCGTGACTTCCAACACTCCAGCCTTCTTCCATTCCTGTTGTTGATTCCTTTACTTCCTGTTGGTAATCCATTTACTTCTTCTTGCTTTTGCTTCATTTGCTTTCCATTTTCCTCTTCTGACCGTGCGACTTCTTATACTACTTACGTCGTTCATATAAGTAGCACACACCACATATGCACTATTCTTGTTTCTCTATCTTTACTCATTTATTATTGATCGCACTTCTAAATTTGCATAATTTCATCTTTTATTTAAGAGATACATAGTAGATTTGCCAGTTTAGTTGTATAGTTGAATAAAAACAAAATCTGTATTCAGCATTACCTGTTGACTACGTTTAATCAATAACTCTGCCTGGAGCCCTTCTAGGGTTACTGCCGGTCATAAGCCCGGGATAAAGAAGGAGGGGTTGGGCATGTGGGTTAAGTGACCCAATCCCATAGAAAGCCAACTCATTAAAAACAAAAAAACGCTACTAACCAGAAAAATAATTGGTTGGTCGGTGGCCTATGCTCCAATTAGGGGTGACAGGCTTAAGTCAAGTAAAGAAGTAACATTCAACCAAGTAAACAATCGTGACCGTGATAACGACAACAACAGCAACGATGACTAATCCTCTGTTTAGTTTACTCAAGATGATCATAGATTATGGCATTAAAACATAATTCGCAATCATAGCCAGTGATAAACCTGCTGTTGTTTTCATTGATATTCTTCACTTAAAAAAAGGAAGCTAAACTCTCCTAACTGAAAGTTCATTTCAATTGTATTTTCAATGGAACAGCATCTTTCAATATATACCAATCATGTCTTCTTCTTTTCTCTTGCACTTTATTACTAACTTTATTTTCATTCTTTTTCTCATGTCTATTTTGTAGAGTATCCAGTAGATACAAGTTGTTTATTAACAGTTGTCTACGCAAAATACTTTAGATCCGTTGGCCAAACAACATCAGCAACAACCTACTGTGGAAGAGAACAAACCAGATTCCAACGGCAGAGGAAATCAGGAAGAAGCACTGGAAGTGGATAGGACACTGTTGGGGATGTTGGACTCCGAGAACTCGCTTGATGAATGTCTTTATTTTGGATTTATTTCATGGTTTGATCAGTTGACCTTGAGATCACATTTCCGACCAGGGGAGTCTCTGGCTGTGATTGGTTACTGTGTTATTTTAGTATGCTATTTTGCGACTCTTTCAAGAACGTTTCTATGGAGTATAAATAAACGCAAATTGTGTGCTGGCTGGGTGTTTGTAGAATACACTTTCTACACTACATCAAGAATTCTTGCTAGTATATTTGGGTCAAGGGATCCGAGTAGCCTACATGGACTCTGGTTCATTGTTTGTTCTCGTTATTCGACTAAGGTTAACCCGTAATAGTTTTAAGCATATCAGGAGACGAGCGTAACAGACACACACTAAGGAAAGCACCCAACTACGTAACAAGACAAGCCCCCACCTGGGACCATGAAGGACAAAGGAAAAGAGGAAGGCCAAGGAACACATATTACGCTGAGACAGATATGAGAAGAATGAACAAAAATCGGGAAAAAACTGGGAAGAGAGATTCAGGACAGAGTAGGTTGGAAAATGCTGGTCGACGGCCTATGCTCGCTTGGAGGTAACAAGCGTAAGTAAGTTAATACTAAAAGCAGTACCTAGTTGCACTTGATTCAAAGTATCACATAAAATACACAAAATGTCTTCAATCATTAATCGCTGCAATTGTGTAAACTCCAAACACATAGTCTGAATCTTTCAACAAATAGAACAAACCAACAGTCAATGACTTCATAGGCTGATGGAATGTTTCGGTTTACCAACCAACTTTAGCTTTCTTCTAACTTTTTCCAATAGAATTCATGAATCTAGAAAGTTGAGGTATTCTGAAACCATGGAAGGAATCTCAACATAAGCACAGATAGGACCTTGGTGTATAAATTTGCTCAAATTTACGTTATTATACTTTACAGCATAATGTACGGAGGGAAACACCCTGAAGGGTTAAAAAACTGTCACAGACTTTAATGTTGTTTCCTATTCGACCTAACTGCATAAATATGCACTATCTGTAACATTTTATGACCCGGATACTTAGTACGGGATCGTTAGCCTCTTCTGGACTCGAACCTCGTACTTTCTGGATGTTTGTAGAATACAGGTTCTACTTCATTTCAAGTCTTCTTCTTTGTTGGGACACATTCAGATTAGAGTAGCATGTCGTGTCGCCGGATTCTCGATCCTCGCTCTCATTTTCCAACTAAGGTAAATACTCGTGATAGTTCAAAAGCCTATATCAAACTCACATGTTTACGTGCATTCGTAACAAAAAAACATTATAAAACTTGAGCGCATGTGTGGATAAATGAAAAACAAACCAAAAAACGAAAGTAGAAATCAGAAAGACAATAAAGATTGAAAAGAAAAGACGAGATTAACATCATATCGAAAAATTACAATACTCTTTCTTACTTACCAAATATTTGACTACACACTCCTTCCTTTGAATCGCCAACTTTCAATGGATCAATATTACAATTTTTCATCGGATTAACAACACACTCTACTCTCGGTGATATATTATCATCATGATCATCATCCTCTCTAGGTGGAAATAATTTCTGATCTAATTGAGGTTTATAACCATGTGGTAATAAATGATGCAACCATGGATCCGATTGTGGTTCTTTCTGCTCCATGGTAGGTGATGATATATTGGATTGATTGATGATGCCATTAACTTGATAATGATGATTGGAAAATAATATTGATGCGCAACCATTATTACTGATGAATAATTCACTGCCTGACGGTGATGACGGTGTTAACGATGATGACGATGATGTTGATGTTGATGCAGTGAAAATGGTTAACAAATGACAATTGGCTGCACCAAATGTTGTTTTCACTTGATTGAATATTTCATCAACACTAAACAAATAAATTGTTTGCCATTGTTGTTGTGTTTTATGGGGAAAAAAATGAAAGGAATAATATGTTTACAACAAGCAAAAATACTTACGATATCTAATTATGCTACTGAAATATCCATAAGTAGTTGTTTTAAAAAAAACATGGATTTCTATGGTTGAAATCATGTTCTGTGTGCTGGATGGCATGGTTGTGAAGCTTTCATGGTTCTTTTGTACAATAACAAAATCAGCATACACATCACGTGGAGAAGTGAAGTATTTGAATTTCTCTACACTTATGACTTGTAGCCAGTCCTGTTGACTTCGATCTTGAGTGGTTGTTAATGACATTAAACCTGGTGTTGCCTGAATCTTTATTTTAGTTTTATCCTCCCTTTGATCTGTTTCATGATCCTATTGGGTTCGTCACTAAGTATGCTTGAAGCTATTACGAGTTCACCTTAGTCGATGAACGCGAACCAGACAAATACCAGCGTCCAGGTAGGCTATCTTGAATCCCAAGCTGAAGATAAGAGGCTTTGTAAGCGTAGAAAGTATATTCTACAAACACCCAGCAATCACAGTACAATCAAGCATACAACTCTCGTTTATTTATACATCATTGAAACGTCCTTGGGACAGTTGAGAAATTAGCACACTAAAATACACAGCAGCCAATCACAGCCATGGATTTTCCTGGTGGGAATTGAAATCTCAAGGTCAACTGATCAACCCGTGCTGGCAAACGTGAAAACCAAAATAAGGCAAGCGAGTTTTGGGGATCTAACATCCCAAACAGTTTGTCTATGAGTTTTCTGATTAGCTGATAAATTGAAGCGATGTCGATGTACTTGTTGATTGCTGATACAATTGAATGCGAAGCTCCAAATATTCTCTAGTGTCCTTTGTACTACCTCTATCAAGAAATATCATGGCGTTTGACTACCAATCGATGTTTACGTATGCGAAGCTGAAGAGGATATTCAATACGTCCAGTGTAGTTTTTTTTCACAGTCTGAACAATTTATTTTGTCAATGATATTTGGTTCTTCTTCTTTTGTCATTATGTCCTTTGATCTACACATAGGATTGATTGAAGTGATTCTGTTGGTTTGTGTGCCACACACCTATTCCAAATGGTATCAATAGTCGTGCTGTCTGCTCCGATATGTCTTTTATGTATGGTAGGATGATCCGTTTGTTGGTTCCTGTACTTATTTCGCTTCCGTTGATGGTTTCATTTGGCAATTATTGATGAAGCTGCGTGGTTAGCCGTTCTTTTGAAAGATACACATTGGATATTTTTCTTCACGTTTTTTTGTGCTTCCTTCATATGTGCTGCAGTGTGTTTTCGCTCTCTTGAACATAGTTTGTATGCAGTTGATTTTGTGGGTTCTTGGGTTGTTGATACTACAGTTGAGAAATAGATATCTGTTGGTTGGCTTTCGAATTACTTGAGTTTTTAGTTTTTCTGCATCAGTTCTAGTGATTAGTACATTCAGGAATGATAGTTTGTTGTTTGACTCCTTTTCCATTGTGAATTTTACGTTATCAAAGTTACTGTTGATCTGATTGTAGGTGTTCTCTAGCTCGTTCCTTTTTATAATGACGAGCGTGTCGTCTACATAATGAAGCCACATTTTTGGCTTGATTATTGGGCAAAAATTGAGGTTTCTAGCTTCTGCATTACGGCTTCTGCGATAAGCTCTGATATTGATGGTCCCACCAGTATTCCGTTCGTTTGTTCGTAGATTTCGCTGTTGAATTGCAAAAGCGTTGTTAAGCATAAACTGACGATTCCTAGTAGACTTTGATCCGGAAGTTTTGTATACTTCAGGAGGCTTGTGTCATTGGTGAGGAACAGAGATAGAGTTTCTGTAGCTAGGTTTGGTTTGATTAAGATGAATAAGGGTGTTATGTCGAAGGATATCATCAATTCGTCGCCAAGGAGTTTCAGATCGGGAACGACAGTTGGTGCGTATAAGCTAATTGTATAATTATTGATTAACTAAACTAAACTAAACTATCAGGTATATATATATATATATTCCTTTGATCGTAAGCTTTCTATCGACCCCAGAAATTATAATCATACGATTTACGGTTTATATTTTGATGACCATTTACTAGTTACAGCTTCTCCTACTCACAACCACTTTTGGCTCCATTTATTGCTCCGATGTGGTCTAGTTCTGTGTGTATATAAAGATATTTTTGAAATATAGTAACGAATCTTGAACTCGTGAACTCGTTTTTCCTCTTCAACTGAAATAGGTTAGTGTTGGGCTATTCTCCAAGCAAAGAGTAGAAAGTCATCTCACTCATGTTGTGTATTGGTCACTCGTCTACATATTTGGTTTATGTCAAAGTACTCACTGAGAGTGACCGCATGTAATTATCGTATGCAATAGTGTTTTCCATCGCTTAATTTGATTATTTTGGTTGTGAATCAGGCATCTGATAAAACGTGATCTCGTAATCGCTGTATACTATATCGGCCGAGTATTCAATCTGGTGATAGCTAAGATTTCAATCACCCAGTTCAGTCATATTACTATATTCTCGTAGTCTTAATCCACTCGTTATATCAATATTAACATCAATAGCTGAAAAGCCATCAGTAATTTCTTCTAAAAGACACAGGTATGAAACACTGCTTTTATCAGGATTGTTGAATTCCTCCTAAGCAATAATAATGTCCTCGTAACTTACCAAGAAGAATGGAAGAGTAAAACAGACTTAAAAAACAATTCACAGACTGACAAACAGCCAGACACAACGCAGAACTTCATACGTACGTACGTACATCAGTTGAAGTTGCCATACCGCATTAGCACAGAGACGCAACTGTCACTTCAAATCACATAGTGGTAGAGATAGTAGAAGTATTAGCAGTAATGGAGAAGATTAGGGTATAATTCAATGAGATAAGGTTAGAAAGAGAAGTATTGAGATGATGAGGAATTCAGAAGGTTAGAATTTGAGAGAACACAAAGAGTGGATGTACCTGCGCCATTGCAAACGATTCTGAGCCATGTCGTTTAAGGTCTCTAACCATCGGTGACTTTCGTCTCGCGGACCCCAACCGGGTAGTCAACACCTGCCAACATGATTCAGTCCACTTGTTAGTGACTTCATAGATTTCTGTCATGTTTTGGTATGGCCGCCCATAACTTTCTTCCAACCTACTCCTACACCACAAAACAAAGCTCGTCGAGGCAGTCGGTGGTTAGCCATACGCAACACATGTCCCAACCACCTCAACTGATGGAGTTTCAATACTTCACCTACTGATTTGCCATCCCTACCTAGTACTCGTTTCCTAACGGCAGCATTACTTACTCGGTTGTCCCACGATACACGAGCAATGCTTCAGAGACACCGATGATCGGAGACTAGTAACCTAAGAATGTCCTCTACTCTTAACGGTCATGTTTCGCATCCGTATAGTAGGACAGAGCGAACTACTGCACAGTACACTCGTCCTTTAGTCAGCAAACGAATATCTCGCCTACGCCATAAGTGACGCAGGTTGACAAAAGCCAATCGAGCTTTCTGTATCCCAGCTGAGATTTTGTCAGTCACCAGGCCATCAGCATAAAACCGACTAAAATTATACAATACGATGTTAAACTTGAATTTTAAAGTTCCTTCCATTTTGATTACACTCTTCAAATGACTAAGAACGAAGTACCAGAATAAATCTAAAGGTTTTTTTATTCTATGGTCAAATCTATCAAATGCTTCAATATGCTTGTGCAATCAATCACTTAGCAAGGCATATCATCTCCTCCGCTCTTATAAGTTAGAATAATATATAATGTAACGTTATACAAATGAAACTATTGAACACACACACATCATGCATAGTATAGAGTTGAATCATTTAAAATTCCAATCAAATTAAAAGTACAAGAAGACAAACAAACAAACAAACAAACAAGGTTAATGACTAACGAACCAATTTTGTGTGATAGTTTTTGATGAACCATCATGTAGCAGTACATAGAATCTTAATACATTCTCTGTAAACCATAATGGATAACTGCCTGGTTGATGATGTTGTTGATTAGATTGACTTTGTGTCAAATCAGTGAAACCACGAATTGGATCTGGATGTGCAGTGGTTAGAACAAATATACAAGCTAAATGATGATTAATAAATTCATGTTCAAATGGTTGTAAATTAGTGATGAATAAATAACGCCATGCTTCAAACCATGGAAGAGATACTGTACAAGAAAAAAATAATAAAAATAATCATTTGTTTTCATCAGATAATGTAATGACGTACACAATGGAAATATGTTCAATTTATTTACTAAAATCAATGAAAATATTGATAAGGAAAAGTTAATCGCCAACCCAACCGAAGCTGCTACCTTGATGTGGTGGTCAGGCTTGCATATCGTGATGACCCAGCCGAGCTATACTGGCTGGAACATATGTTCCTGAAGGTTCTACCATGCTAGGCAAGTCGATTGAAGAACGATGAGACTAAAAGCAGCTACTCAAGGTCTGAGGGCGAAGTCGTACTGCTGACTGTAGAGAGGTGTGATAACAGCAGTAAGGTGTTTCCCTCGGACAACCAGCATCTGCAACGATGCTGCCTTCTCACAAGGAAGAAAGTGGTTAGAAAAGCTCGACCTTAAAAATGTCAAACCTCACCTTACCTCACGGATTTCCGTCTCCGGCGGTAAGGGTGCCCACTAAGGGCTTTCAAGAGCGGAGCTAATAATCAAAAAACTCTTCATAAAAAGGCCGTGCGTGACCGGCCTCAAGCAGTTGTCCGTTGGACTCTGAGGTCACGCTCCCAGGTCTCCAAGACCAACGCTAATATGCCTTCCCTTTTAGGTTCCTGAAGAAACAACCTTCCACGGTGTGGGCAGCCGAGAAATGACAACCGTCTTCATATCCGTAACAGCACACGAGACCAAATTGGTCAAAATCAAATCCTTCCTGTCATTCGTCAATGTATTCTATTTAAAATAATCTTAAAATGTTGATCGTCTGATGTCTTTTTGATAGTATGTTTAGTTAAATTAATTACCCATAATAAAAAGTAAGTGTCCATTTGTGTATTTCGCTTATTGACTTGATTGTGACCAATTCGGTCTTGTGTGCTGTTACACAGGTATGAGGACAAATGTCACTTACCAGTTGCCCACATCAGGGGGATAAGAAAGACCAACAGAGGCCGGTCATGTGCAACTTCGTTACATACCACGACACCATGTCATACACTGATCATCTCTCTGCTTTTTCCAACCAGTCCTAGAGTTGGCAATTAACGCACGTTGTGAAATTTTCTGGGACAACATTTGTAGTATATGATGACTGCAACTAGAAAAACTATTCTTTCTTGAGCTGACATAAGATCTCCCAACTGATAGAATTAAATGATTTTAGGGTAAGTTATGTGGATAGTATAGAGAGATGGTATATATCTTTACATGTTTTAGGAATTCCAGAATTATCATAACCTCAAGTGGAATATTTTCCCGAATCTGTCTATATCAAATCTTTGCATTCAATTACACATCAGAAGTTGAATGATTTCCAATTTTTTAAGTTTTAAGAAACTGTTTCATGCGAATAATTACTTCAGTAAGTTCGAATAAAAGGACATTATAAATAAGGTGCCGAATTTATTTTATTTGATACTTACAATATGGTGTAATTTTACCAAGAGGACATTAAAAATACTTCTGTGTAACAATCGACTTTTCAGAAAATAATAGTGATTTGAATGAGATACCGTAATTGCTAATTCCCCAAGATTACAATAAGCAAATAAGAGAAGTTATAAATATCTCCTTAAATGATGAATGCATCAAAACTGTATAAATGAAGTTTAGAATTTTACAGAGGCATATTTTTTAATAGCGATGAGCATCAAATATAGTGGATTTACAATGGCTGAAGGAACTATAGGATAAAATGAAACGAAAGAACATAGTGGCAAATATTTTTTTATGATGAAAGCCGACAAGTATGAAAACCAGGCTTCAGATAGCTTTTCTGCCTCCAGCAGTTCAACATAAAAAGTTAGGAGTACATAAAAAGAAAGGACTACGCTTATGTACTTTCTTTACAGACAGTTAGAAAATGTCATATAGCAGAAATAAGGGGACAGGTGAAGTTAAACAACTTTGTCTAACCTTACCGACATCAAGGTCAATGGAATATGCGATAGACAAACAGAGCTTGTGGGAAAGGAAACGAATATCCATTTAAGATGACTGTGAGGTCAACTTTCAACATACTCCTGTCAAATCACTTTGTAAACTTTCTGTGACTTTTACTATTAGTTTTTTAGTTATAATCACCCAGTTAATAAATTCTAATCAGTGAAACTGACAAATAACCTATTACCTTAACGTCTACTTTTAGTTCCATTGAGGTCATCACGAACAAAGCTTTCCGATCTCTCTCTCTAGTCAATAAGACAAGAAAAAAAAGGGTAGAAGTGGTTTTTTCACTGTGTTAAAGTCGGGGTTGCGAATATAAAATCTTAGTACACCAATATATTATCAGAATGTTCCTTTTAGTAAGCAAATCAGCTCTTAATCTTTTCCCAGTTTCAAAAAAAGGATTAAGGTAAATCATTTCCGCCAAAAATTCTATGATGTCTAAAAGCCTTAAAATTCTTATGGACTTTCAGCAAAGTAGCATCAAATAGCATATTTAAGACTGGTAAAATATTGAACTGGTTGAACAACCTTCCGAAGCACTACGCTGGTAGGTTTCGGGCATCTTTAAAAAGATAGAAATAGGTATTTCCTTTCTTCCGTTTTAATAAGATTATGTTGTTGACTGGCAGAAGTTCGACGAATACAAGATAGTTCACAAAAATGACTAAATATAGGAACTTAAATGAAGAAGTCTAACTAATGCAAATATTCTTACACACCTACGTAAACAGAAGACAGCTTAGTTTTTAATGCGGAGGCATAATTAAATGTAATGGTTTGATATGTAACAGTCTATATATCTTAGACTAAGTAAACAGACAGACAGATACAACGCAGAACTTCGTTCACAAGATTAGGAAGCGAAGATATGATTCGAAAAGTGTAATTCAGTGAGATAAATTCGGAAGCAGAAAGACAGAGATTATGAAGAGTTCAGAATGTTAGAATTTCATAGAACACAAAGAGTGGATGCACTTGCGCCATCGCAAACGATTCTGAGCCATATCGTTCAAGGTCTCTAACCATTGGTGACTTTCATCTCGCGGACCCCAAAACAGATAGCCTACATCTACCGACATGACTCAGTCTACTTGTGAGTGACTTCATGCATTTGTGCCATGTTTTGGTCTCGCCGCCCCTAGATTTCTTCCGACCTACTTCTACACCACAAAACATAGCTCGTCGAGACTAAGTAAACATATGACATTCGGAAACACATAAGAGATTTATTGATAATTTGTACTACAGTAGGATGAACTATTTATGTTGTACTTTGAGTGAGTCGGTGAAAAACTGATTATCGGCTTTTCTTGAATCACAGAATCTCTAAAGTCGAGATCAATGTGATAGTCTTGCTTCCAAAACAGCAAGATAACTCAGTACCTTACCTGATCCGAAATGATACTATATTGGATGACTTAATCGAAAATGAATTTCTAGAATAACTAGAGAATTTTTCCCCTATATTTTATCACTAAAAAATCAACTTTGGAAAATTTTACGTTAAAGAGATTTGAAATGCATTAATTATATCACTCAAGATTTCTGTAAATTGATAGGTGTACCTATCATACATTTACCTCAAGAACTTGATACCGTACGCATGCTGCTCAGAGATTACACAAAGGGAACCCCAGGCAGACCAATGGGAAATTAAACCGGAATAATATAATGGGACAGGTGAATCAAGAAAAGGAGTATTTGAATCATCCAAAATTAGACATAAAAGTAGGAACAAGAAAATTCATGAACTCAACTAAAGTATGATTTAAACGGATTACAAATTAAACAAGTAATCAGGTAAGGTTATTGTACTTCTAAACAAATACGATAACCACTTATAAAACAAAACATTTAAATAATAGTGAGTAGAAAACGACATACCTGGAACGACCACAGATCGACTCCCATCACAAAACTTTTGGGACCTAACAGTATTATCAGTAGAACAAACGTTAACAAAGTATCTCAGCCAAGACTGTTTTACGTGTTTAGGTACAGGACTTGAACTGATATCAAAAAACTTCAGTTGTAGGTTTTTCACAGAATGAACGACATTGTTATTATCTCGGAGCGTTACTAGAAATAATAGTGAAACAAGCAATAGGAACGAACCATCTCTAGAGAGTTGGCTGAATGGCCTTAATAACTCCTCAAATGTCAAATTATCTCGTAGACATAGTTCATTGACATCAGGGCTAACAAGCAAACCAATGCAAGGGCTGAACACAAAGTTGACGAATTTTTCCCCTGAAATACAGCATTTTGCCATTTTAGTAAACAACTACAGGGCAAAGAATCCTAGGTCATTCAAAGGAAGTAACGCATGTCACCAATTACCGCTTCTTTATTGTTTCTGTAATGTGCAACGTGCAACCTAATATACGACATGTGTCACGAGTTAGTATAACTAGACAGATTTCTTTGCGTAAGTTTATTTTTCATAAGGTATGGTGCTAGGTATTTATTAATGTTCAGTAACAGTAGTCAAGCTACTCGACATTACCTGTAGTGGTAAATGAATCCCTGAAATAGATAGTTCTGTAAGTTTTCGACAATGCTGCTGATCATTGCTGAAGTAGTTTGGTCATACATCCGCACCAAATCACCTTTAGGTACACCTTACAACACATCTCGTCGTATCAACTAGCAAAATTAGTTCACTCACTCATCGACATCCCAACCACCTTTCTCTATACCTTCGAACTTCTTCACTCATGTTTCTGTAATGTGCAACGTGCAACCTAATATACGACATGTGTCACGAGTTAGTATAACTAGACAGATTTCTTTGCGTAAGTTTATTTTTCATAAGGTATGGTGCTAGGTATTTATTAATGTTCAGTAACAGTAGTCAAGCTACTCGACATTACCTGTAGTGGTAAATGAATCCCTGAAATAGATAGTTCTGTAAGTTTTCGACAATGCTGCTGATCATTGCTGAAGTAGTTTGGTCATACATCCGCACCAAATCACCTTTAGGTACACCTTACAACACATCTCGTCGTATCAACTAGCAAAATTAGTTCACTCACTCATCGACATCCCAACCACCTTTCTCTATACCTTCGAACTTCTTCACTCATGACTTCTGGTTTGACTTGGCCTCGTCTGTTTTTGATCTAAAAGATTTTATGGACAGATTTGTTGTTCAACTCTGAATATCCGTGACACACTCACTAGTGGACACGATGTGATCCAGTACACTCAACAAAGGCCCGTGAGTCCCTTCCTTACTATAAGTGGTGTATTTTTACATATAATGATATGTATCTTAACATTCACACCTTTTTCCTTGAATATTTACTCCATAATCGACTCTTCCTATGTCGAAACACACACCTAATCGTGACAACCTCGAAGCCTGGCTGCGTTATGCAGAGACTGAATCCCACGTGTACGACGTGACAGTCCCACGAGTGCAGTTCCTTGCCTTAGTACAATCTTCTCCAACACGTGGAGGCTGTTCTCACATCATTTCAATGTTTCCGTGAAGAGACCATCCATGAATTCTGGAGATCACCAAGACTTCAAGCTCCTAAATTTGTTTTGTCGAGCAGAAACCTCACTGGACTAGAAAAGGAGTTACGGACCTCTGTAATACCATCATATGCCTTCTGAATCTTTGGAACAATCGAAAACCAGCCAAAAAACGTCAACCGATAAAACAGACAACCCACGCAAATGTCACTACCCTAACATCCATTGCAAATCTTCCATATAGTGCAGGAAAGCCTGCAGCTTTCTAGCTCTATATTCCGACAAACTGTCCTAAATGCATATGTTGACGAAAACCGTTGCTGTTGGACAAAGGCGAATCCTTTGCATCATTGATAATAATAGATATATATGTACTCAAATAACGGTATCACTTGAAGCATACCAATTTACAGGCAAGATCAAATTGTTACGAATGTTACCACGTTTACTTTAGAGGGTTTCTCAGTTAGATCATAAATAAGAGTCTTTTTTGGACAGTAGGTTCATGCAATTTCACTGTCAGGAACAGATAGATGCAGCCGCATTGTCAACAACTGAGTACATATAGGGTAGGTGCACAGCAGAGTTCTTGTGTGATATGCATCATCCAGGCGTGAATTTGTTAGGAAGTGTCGATTGGAAGGCGAATAGTATAATCTGTAACTTTAAGGAGCGCGTACGTAAAGTGTGTCTTGCGTAGAGGCCCCACGGTTTTTCTCTGAAGACAAGGTTCTGAGAAGAGAAAAAAAGAAGAGCAACGAGGAAATTGGATATGTAATCAGATCATTGCATAGCCGTTTATGAAGGGATAAACAGATTAGTGGTACGTCAGTTGACAGAATTTATACTGACTGCTACAATCAAAATAAACTGTAGTAATATGGCCTTCAAGTTGCGGAGTGAAGCTATGAAAAATAATGAGTCGTGATGTGTATCAAGGTGGACAGGATAGAAGTTGAAGTAAGAAGCTGGATGTCTGCATATTGAAGCCGAAATTTCTGCAAGCAAAGTAAAGTTTGTGAAAAACTTTGGTAATCATATTTTTTATTATCTTTTTTGGTATCAAATGCCAACCTTTACGTCATACTTTAAGTTCCAGAGTAAGCATGTAGCAGGTTGTCTTACACCAGTCATCTATCTAACTGGGTGCACACTGGATTGTTTACGTGAAATTTCTTAAGCTACACTAGTTAGTTTTATATATCACTTTAAGATCGTGAGTGCAGAGGTTGGGTTTTCCTGTGCTGAAGCATCTGCGTATGTTGTTGATGTATATTATGAAAGGCCTCAGGTCGAAGACGCTGCCCTGGATCATAACCATGGCCGCTGGTCAAGGTGTAGATGTTGTGAAGTTAATTTTAGTAATTTGGTAACTGTTAGTGATAAAAGACCTGACCATTTGCAACAGGGAGTCAGTAATCCCGATGGATTGAAGTTTGTTGATTAAGAGACTGTAAAGTACCTTATCGAAAGACTTGTTGCTATCAAAATACATGTTAACACTTGTTACTTTAAATTGCGTACGCTGGTAACTTTATCAAAGCGGCCTATCAGATTCGTAGTGCTTGACCTAGTTCTAACGAAGCCATACTGTCAAGGGTTGGTAGGACCTTCTATGAGTAATTGACCAGATAATCGGTCTTTTATCAGTTTCTCTACTTCCCTTGGTCCGTAGTTCTTGATTAAGATTTTTAGCCCTGATTTGTGTTTCAAGAAAACAAAAGTTATTTTCCAGGTTTTGTATAATGTACTAGCTTCTATGGATTATGTAAATATTTTGAGCCAATGGGCCAGTATATTCGGTCCTGCTATTTTAGAGTATGTAGATGATATTACATACACAAAGAGCTAGCATTTTGATGAAAAGTATTTTTTTGAAAAGTGTTCGCTATCTCTTTGATACTGAGGAAGAAATTGACGTCCTTCCAGCGAACACAAATGATTGTTCACATGATCAATTTTGCAGTCTGCAGTAGGCAAATTGAAAACCGGTTGCCACCTACGGCAAAAAGTGCTTTTTCCTTAATGTGGATTCACACATACCCATTAACAAGATTTTCGTTGTGGCAGGTGAATCAACGCCAATCACTGCTACAGGCTTGTTACAATTCCATAACCTACTCATTGATTAGAGCAAATGAAACTTCGTATATGGTAACACATAACTATCTTTTGCAAGAGTTTCGTTCTATGATTGTCAATGATACACAGTCACGACAAAATATAATGTAACTGTCTTGTCAATCAGTACTCGGTGAGCACCTGAAACTGCACAAAATATGACTACAGTGACCGTTCGTAACTAGCAAGCTTACACATTAGATCACGATCAACAGAATACCTGTATTATTAAAAGGCTAATGACTAACCCTGGATGGATTAGTAGATTATCTGACCCTCAAAAAGCTCATGGGCATCACCGTAGTATATGATCCCTATAAAGGTCAGTATAGAAATATTTATTACTCTCGCAGTGAGCTCTGAATCCAAAAGGTGTAGGTTCACACGCGTCTCACCCAGTCCAAGTCCAAAAACGATAAATACGGGAAAGAACGGTCCTATTTCTAATCAAAAAAGGAAATACAGACAATTACAAAAACAATATTACACCTTCGAGTTTCTAATCACAACAATACGTTCTGATACAGGAAAAATAAGTGCTTCCAGTTAGTTGCAACGAGCTGCCGCTAGAGTATCAAATCCAAAAATGTCTGTAGCCATATTAAGTATCAATCTTAAACAACACATATATAGTTCAGAAGGAAACATAGAAACTTCAATATAAGTAAAGGATATGGAAATAATAACAAGACGAATGATAAAATCCAAAAATTGGATCAAATAGAGTACCAAAATATTGTACAGAAAGAGTCAGTCAGATCATAACACAAATATATATACATGGAAGTATTTTACAAAAACAAGGAGAGAAGATGGATATTTTACCGCAGCAGTTCAATTTGTTTCCAGTAAGTGTAAGTCGAAAGCACCCCTCTCCTAGTCCAATATCAGAACACAATAATTCTAGGAGAAAGTTGTT